CAGCAGCAGCACCCAGTCTCCGCCGCCCCGGCAAGCACAGCACCACACTCGGGGGCCTGACCTGCACGGTCTGGTGGAGGTGGACGGCCACCACCTTCTTCATGCAGTCCTTGATCATCTGGGAGGTGAAGAAGTTGGCCTCGCCCTTCTTGTCCACGGCGATCTTGCGGTAGTCCTCCAGCAGGATGGGGCAGATGGCCTGGGTGGGGTGCGTCATGTAGACGGGCCCGTCGTAGCCCACCATCTCGCTGAAGTAGGGCAGCGCCCCGCAGTGGTCCAGGTGGAAGTGGCTGGGGGCGCAGCACGGTCAGCCAGCCGCTGCGCCGGCCCGGCCCCTCCACGCCAGCACGTGATTTGGGCCTCACCGCCTGCCCGCCCGCCCACTGAATGCTCCGTGGCCCCCTCGCTGCACTGAGGACTGAGCAGACAGACGGAAACGGCTGTCTTCCTGGCCCTCCCAGCCTAAACACCTGGTTTAGCAAGAAGCAAGTGGACATTTAAATGAGTATCAGATGGGTGACATGCTCCTTGAAGACACAGAAAGCAGCTACAGGGACAGTGTGCCAGGGTCGCCATCTTTGGTGGGTGGCTGGGAAGACCCCATGGCACGTGGACCGGAGCGGGACGAGGCCTGGAGCGGCGCTGGGCAGTGGGCTCAGCGGTTCCGTGTCGCCCACAGCTGACAGAGAGATGGGGCCGAGCCCTCGTCTTAGAAGGGGTGGGGCCAAGGCAGCCTCAGCAGCTGAGGGGGGGGCCACAGCACACGGCAGCTGCAGCTGGGGCGCCTGCAGGAGGCTGTTGTGGTCACGCAGGCCGGGGTTGTGAGGGCTGGGTCCCCGCACAGCCTATGACTGGCAGTGGGGCCCAAGGGGGTGAAGGGGCCATCCGGCCAGGTGGGGGGACCTGGGCGCCAGGGGCAGGATGTGCAGGGCCTTCTGGGAAGGCCTTTGGCGACCAAGGACTGGCGGAAGGTGGGGGCGGTCATTGCCGCAGACAGGCCCACATAGCCTGCCATCTAGAGACAAGACACAGCCTGACCTGCCTGAGGAACCTGGGCTCTCATTCCGGACGTGGCGGGCAAAGCGCTCCCCGCCCCTCCCCCACAGGTGGCACTGCAGCCCCCCCAAAGGTCAGCACTGCACACCTGCGAACACACACAAAGGTCCAGCATGGCACCGGTGAGGGGCGGGGCGAGCCACAAAGGCAACTGGGAACAGAGCCCGGGCCAGTGACGCCCGCGGCCTGCAGCTTCCACAAGCCCTGCGCCGCTCTCCCAGGCTCCGGAAGGTCCCGGAGGCCGGGTGGCTTCAGCTGGCGCAGCGCTGGCACCTGCAGCCCTGGGACCGGGCTCACCTGATTATGACGCAGTCCAGGAAGTCGGTCAGCCGGCCGTTGCGCGTGATGTAGGAGAAGTCAGGGAAGCGCCTCTGAGAAGTCGAGAGAGAGCATCAGGGCGCGGTGGCTGCCCGGGTCCCCAGGAGATGGGAGGGACAGCCAGCACGCCAGCTACCTCGTCTGGGGGCTGCCCCGGGTCTGCTGACTGCTGGCAGCCCCGAGGGCACAGGAGGGGGTCCGAAGCCAGAACCAGTAACCCAGCCCAGCCTGGCCCACATAACCCTGCAGACCCCCACGAGCCCCTCCATACAGGCCCCCCCTTGCAGGGCACCCCGCCTGTCACGTGAGGGTCGGTGGTCCCCAGGAATGCCGCGCTGCCGGGCCCACCGACACCCCACCCTGCCCACGCGCCCAGCCCAGCCCCATTCCACAGGTGGGAGCCAGAGGCTCTGAGTCCTGCGTCCTCCATGTGGAGCAGGCTGGGTGACGGCCCCCTGCCCCCCGGGTGCCTCCGGGCAGCCCCCCCACAGGCTCACGTCATCGTTGAAGCCCATGTGCATCCCGCAGTCCAGCATGACGTTCTTGCCCCCGATGGAGACCAGGATGCAGCTGCGGCCCACGTCCTGGCCGGCCCCTGCAGGGACAGCAAGTGAGGTGCTGCCACACCCTCCACCCCTCCCCCATACCCCACCCTCAAGGCCAAGGCCCAGCTGCTTGCCCCAGGCCCCCACTGGGCATTCTAGGCCCCTGGCCCCGCAGACCCCTCAGTGGGCTGGAAGCAAGCCCGTGGCTGCTGTGTGATACCACGGGAGGCAAGGACGTCGCCACCTCCACAAGCAGCCGGGAAAGGAAATGCAGAGGAACGAAGTGCTGAGTCCACGGCCTGAGTGCCCTGCCCCGCTGTGCCTCTGGCACCAAGGTCAGACGGAAGAAGGTCGCAGCCCACCTGCCGTGACCTGCCCATGCCCTCCAAGACCCAGGGCTGAGGACTGGGTGCTGGACTGTAGTTCCAGCACCAACAGAGGCAGTCTGGCACTCCGTGCCCCCCCACCGAGACCCGGGGGTGGGTCATGTCAGGGCTGTGGGACTCCTCCCCCAGAACCTACCCCCCCCAAGAGGTGGCAGGCACCTCCTTGTGGTGCCACCAAGGCGCCCCATGTGGCTTCAGGGGAAACATGCCCCAGCTGCCCAGCAATGACCAACTACAGTGACAGACCCGGACCCAAGTTTCAGTCACATTCCTGACTGCCACAGTGTCCAGCTGCTGCAGCCCCAGAAGGGCCCGACCTGGCCACCTCCTACGGCCACCTGGGGTCTCCTTGGCCTGCCGGATGACAACAAATGGCCTGCTTCCCACCTTGAACCCTCTGAGCCTCCCCTTGCCAGCCACCTGACCCTCTGCTGGCACCACACAGGCCAGGGTGACCAGGCCACACCCAGAGTGGGATGGGGGCTGGTCCTCGAGAAGCCTGCTGCGCACGACGATGGCAGAAGGCTGCCGAGAGCTCTGCCCCAGGCAGCCCAGCCACAAGTGGCGGCCTCGCGGTCTCCCACGGGCCTGCTCCTGTCCCCACCAGCACGTGCCTCCCTGTGGTGCCTCCAGTTCTGGAGCCAAACCAGCTCAGAGGTCTCCAGGTGTGTGGGCAAAGGAGGGCCACCCCCCCTTTTTTTAGGACTTGATCTATTTTTAGAGAGAGAAGGAGGGAGAACAAGAGGAAGAGAAACATCAGTGCGGCTGCTTCTCACGAACCCCCTACTGGAAACCTGGTCTGCAACCCAGGCCTGTGCCCTGACTGGGAATCGAACTGGTAACCCTTTGGTTCACAGGCCGGCACTCAGTCCACAGAGCCACACCAGCCAGGGTAGGCCTTTTTTAAAGTCGACACGAAGGATGTGAAGCCACATAAGTTAAGAGAACAATCCCCGCCACGCACATGGTTCCTAAGCGTGGGGCCAGGGGCAGCCTTCTGGATCCCTGAACCCAGCTCTTAGGCACTGGCCGCCTACCCCCAGCAGAAACCACCACAACCTCAGGCAGCAAAGACGGTGGCTCGAGCTGGGCTGGAGACGTGCGGGTCAGACTCCAGGGCAGACAGGAGGGCCCGGGCTCAGGAGTAGGCCAAGGAGGCACCCTGTCTGCAGGAGCCCATGTTCCAGGACAAGGAAGCAGATGACAACTGTGCAGGCAAGACACACTGAGTGCACCAGCTAGAGATGAGTGCCAGGGAGGCACACGAAGGGGACAGAGAAACACCCACGACCGTGACGGGCTTAGGGCTTCCAAGCAGGGTGGAGAGGGATGGCAGCGGGGAGGCAGGTGCGCAAAGGCCCTGTGGCCAAAGTGATTTAGGAGACTCTCTGTAACTGGCCCAGGTGACCAGGAAGCCCGCAAAGCAGAAACTGGCAAAGGGAGACAGCGGAGGAGTCCTGCTTCGGTGGTGCTGAGGCTGGGCGACCCTGCGGGTGCACCCAGGGGCAGACCTGGGTAATGGGAGCAGGAACAAAGACTGTTTAAGAAAAGTACGTGTTGGAAAAAAAGCCAAATGGAGAAAAGGGCTGGAAGGAGAGTTGGGTGCTACAGCGGCCCCAGGGGCCACAGCAGCCAGAGGGAAGCCTGTGCCGAGAAACATGACAGGCCCTGGGCATGACAACTGTAAGGTGGGGTGGGATGTGGGCTCTGACCCAGCAAGGGCAGGGGCGTTCGCGGTGTAAGGCAGCTGTCACCAGCTCAGCGTTCCCACTTAGGGGCGGGTGAGCTTTTGGAGAAAAGCTCTCACCAAGAGGAGGGACAGGAAGATGCGTGGGGCACCTGGATGGGAAGATGCTCCCAACACACAGCCCTGTGAGGAGGCAGGAGCCGGAACAGCGCAGGGGGTGTGTGCAGGAAAAACTCCCAGAGAAATAGAAGGTGGCCGCCAAACCGGCAACCACGTTGTTTCTGGGACCCTGGATTCTGAGTGATCTTTCCTTCCTCAAACTGTTCTGGACTGTTCAGCCTTTTAAAAGTTGCACGTGTGTGTTTTTCCCAAGAGCAGACCTATTTTTTTTTAACGTTGCAAAGATCAGGGAAACCGCGGGCTTAGCTGAGGTCGGACGGCCAGGCCGGGTGGGTGGGAGGCTGCAGGGGACCCTGGCGCGAGACACGAGGAGGGGGAAGGAAGGAAGGGGGAGGAAGCAGAGGCCGGGCGGGATGGGGGCAAACGACTGCAGCCTCGGTCCACGTACTAAGAGACGAAAACGTGGTGGCGGCGGCACCCAGAGCCCGCTGCAGGCGATCTCGCCTCAGGTCGCTGTTAGGAAAACCGGAGATACAGCACAATAGCGACCAGGACCCAACCCCGGGGCCCGCCCAGCGCTCCCCACTCACCTAGGGGTGTGACCCTGATCTCGGGCATCCTGCGCTGGCTCACTCCCAGGCCCCGTGGCCTCTACGTTCCCTGGACACGCCACGCACAACGTCGCGGGACCAAACCCAGGGCCCAAACAGCAGGCGAGCTCTGCTCGCGCTCACTCACTACGCAAACGCAGACCCAACAGCGGCAGCTTCCGGTGAGCTTGCCGGAAACGTAGGCTGCAGGTCTGGTCTCTTGATTGGGCAGCGGTCAACCAATCCCGAGCGGCCCAGGGAGACCAGGGGCGGGAGGCCGGGGGGGCGGGGCGGCGGTGGCGGGGCGGCAGGTCTGGCGGCGGTGGCGGCGGTGGCGGCAGCTAAGGTGAGCTCTGGTGAACCGAGCCCAACCGAGCAGGGCGGTGGGCCTGGGCATCGCTGAGGGGGCAGGGCAAGGGACCCCGGGTGCGGGAAGCCGGGTGCAGGAAGCCGGGTGCAGGAAGCCGGGTGCAGAAAGGCGCGGCCGAGGACCTGGCTCCCACGCCAGCTTGGACCCGGGCCCCTACTCCATTCCTGGGCCTCATCTGGAGCAGGACCCTCCCGGGACTGGGCTCCCACCGCACCCAAGTCCGGCGCCTCCTGGTGTCCCCTTCCCAGGAGAGACTGGCAGGCCTTTCTGGACCAGGCCGCACCCACACTCTGGGCCTGGGTGGCAGGATGAGTGCTCCCTCCCCGGTGACTTCAGCCTGCTGTCAGCCACCGGACCCGGGGCCCTGACCTTGGGGCCGCGGCTGCTCCGGGGGATAGCCTTGGTGGTGCCCTGCATCACCTTCCCACAGTTGGCGGGCTGCCCACCAGCTGCACAGCCACGGCCCTTCCTGTTTCCAGGCTCCGAAAGGCTCCTGGCAGCTCCTGCTGTTTGCTGGCTGGAATTCTTGGCAGGAAGGCCAGGCCCACAGGATGTCTGGGGGCCAGGAATTTAGCCCTGAGTGCCTAGAAACTGTCCACCTGCTCAGTGGACACAAAATGGAGGCCCTGGGGGGTGGAGGTGCTGGAAGACTCCAGATAAACATGTTCCTGAGGATGAGCTCCCCGGGAGGGCTCTGCCCTACACCCAACATTCGGCCCGGCCCTTGGGGCCTGCAGGGTCTCGGAACCAACTGGGTCCCTTCAGATGCTCCCCCAGTCTGGGCAGTGTGGGTGGCCCATCTTCCCCAGCGATGGGGGAGATGGACCAGACGGACCAGATTTTAGGGTGGTGAGTGACCTGCCCACAGAGTGGGAGGCAGATCCAGCACAGCCTCCCGGGTATCCGGTTCCCAGCTGGGGCTATTGCCACATCTTGGGTGGCCTCCTTCACTTGCTGGGGTCCCTCAGGGAACCCGAGGCACAGGAACCCCCAGGCCCAGTGGGATGGGAGCTTGTCCTGGACATGTGGTGAGAGGCAGCTGAATCCTCAGAGCCCATAAGGACCACCCTTCAGTGCTGGTCCTGGGCACCCAGGTAGACGGGATTGGGATACTCAGTGACACCCATATGATGCGTGGGCGCTTGGATATTTGCAGAGTGACTGTATGTATGCAAGCAGAGCCCAGAGCAGGAAGAGACTGGTATGTGTTTCAAAACCTGCCCAGCACATGCTGACCCATGACCTCTGCTCTGGCTTTAGGGTGGGTGCAACTGTGGGCAAGGATGGGCACGGCTGCTGGCCCCGGCCTCCCACGTCACTCCACTGTCGTCCTCCACCTGCCCCTTTGAGATTCCGATTTGTCATTGTCTGGCTCTGCCCCCGCCCCCACTGGAATGTTGCCCTGATGAAGCTGGGCTGGTTGTCTTGGGTGCTGAGCACCCTCGTGCTAGAGGAGCGCCTGGCTCTGGGTGAGGACCCAGCAGGCGTCTCTTCAAGTGAGAACGGGCACTTTGGTGAGAGAGACCAACTCTGCCCAGATAAGCAAGAAAACGCAAGCAGAGGTGTCTGCTGTGCCTAAGATGTAGCGAGAGTGGGTTGAGAGAGACTGAGTGGCAGGGAGGGGCGGTGGCCAAGGTCTGTGGGCACTGGCTCCAGGAAGGGGCATGGCACAGGCCAGGTGGGTGTCGGAGAGGGTGCCGCCCAAGCAGAGGGAGGGAGGCTCCTGGGGAGGGAGAGTGGGACCCCAGCCGTTCTCTCCTGCTGCTCCTGCCCCCCAAGGAGTGCGCTGACTCTCAGCCCCATTGGAGATGGACGACCTGGAGTCGGACTTCAATCTGAAAGTTGTGCTCACCAGTTTCAAGAAGTGCCTCAACGAGCAGGGAGAGGTGCTGCTGGAGCACTACCTCACCGGCTGGAGGGGGCTGGTCAGGTGCGTGGAAGGGCCGCTGCCCAGGTGGGGCTCCCCCAGCCACACCCCTGGGTGCAGGCACCGCTGCACCCCAAGCTCAGCACCTGCTTTCCCTCCCAGGTTTTTGAACAGCCTGGGCGTCATGTTCTCCTTCATCTCCAAGGACGTGGTGGCGAAGCTGCAGATCATGGAGCGGCTGCGCAGTGGCCCACGACGGGACCACTACAGCAGCCTGCAGTCCATGGTGGCCTACGAGGTGGGCAACCAGCTGGTGGACCTGCAGTGCCGCTCCAGCCACCCAGACTCGGGCTGCCGGACCGTGCTCCGGCTGCACCGGGCACTGCGCTGGCTGCAGCTCTTCCTGGAGAGCCTGCGCACCAGCCCGGAGGACGCCCGCACCTCCACTCTCTGCACGGACTCCTACAACGCCTCACTGGCCGCCTACCACCCCTGGATTGTCCGCCGGGCTGTCACCGTGGCCTTCTGCACGCTGCCCACGCGCAAGGTCTTCCTGGAGACCATGAATGTGGGGCCCCCTGAGCAGGCCGTGGAGATGCTGGGCGAGGCCCTGCCCTTCATCCAGCACGTGTACGACATCTCCCAGAAGCTCTACGAGGAACACGCCCTGCTGGACCTGCCCTAGGGGCCCCTGGGCCCAGGCTGGGAGGGCACCCCTTCTCCAGAGCTAGGCCGGGGCAGCCAGGCCCGCCAGTCCCACAGCACAGCTTTCTGGGTGCCCCAGGGGCAGGGAAACCACAGGCCCGGCATGGCCCACCTGGGCAGGACAGAGAAGGCAGGCGCCAGCCAGGTGGGTAAGGTGCAGAGTACAGGGAGGTCGAGCAGTCTTGGCCTTCCTTCGAAAGCCTGAGAGGCCACCCTCACCTGTGAGTCAAGTCTGTGAAAGGGGTGACTCACCAGCCCCTGTAGCCAGCCAGTGCTTGTCCTGTCAGGCCCACTGGGTCCTGTGTCTGTGGCCAGGTGGGCTGCCTGTGGCCCCTCCATACCAGGCTGGCTGTCCCCCAGGCAGGGAGGGAACATGGGCAGCTGTTGGCAATGCCTCTCATCCCTTGCCACTCACCTCCGTGCTAGCCAGGGACCCACGTGTCCTTGGCAGTGACAGCCGGGAGCTGGAGCCCGGAGCACACATCAGCTGCCTTCTGCAGCCCCACTTCCCCAGGCAGCTGCTGCGAGTCTGCACAGCACAACCCCGGAGCCCCCGGGAGCCCAGGGCTGCTGGGCCAGCCAGCCTCTCCCTTGTGGGCGTCCCACAAGATGCTGCATTCCACCCCCCCCGGCCTGCCCCGCCGCCTCTCCACTGTGACCTCAGGACCTCCGGTGCCAAGGACCCACCACGCAGCAGTCCTGCATGAGTGTGACCTTGCGGGGACCCTTGGAAACTATAATACGGGTGATGATTTTTGCAATGTAAATAAATTATAATTACAGAAGTGGATTCTGAGTTTCAGGGTGGAGATGTGGAGGGTGCCTGGTCTCAGGGCAGGGGAGGGGGGCCCTCAAGGGCAGGGCAGCATCAGCCACAGGTGCTGCGTCCTGCCCCACCCACCACGTGGGGGCCACTGCCCAGCTATCCCCTGCAGGGTTTAGCTTGGTCCCCCCAGTCCTCTAAGGAGGTCCACAGGGTGAAGTTTTTGTTGGTGATAAGACAGATCAAAGGGCGGGGCTGGAAGGGCAGGCAGGAGATGGACCTGCCCAGCTGCGGCCAGCAGTGCGGGGGCTGCTCAAGGCTGCAACGTGGCTCCAGACCGAAAGAGGACACATGTCAGGAAGGGTCCCCTCTCGGACATCGCCCCAATGCCAGACCCCGTGCCAAGGCTTGTCCACGCTGAGCAGTGTCCAGGGCCCCGTGTGGGCACCAGCAATGGCCAATGGCAATTCAGGACTTGCCTGGGAGGACCGCCTGGGGTCCACATGGGCTGGGAAGCACACGTGTGTGAACCGTGCCGTGGGTGTGCAGGTGCAATGCACTATTTGTGTCGTGCACCAGGTGTTGTACGCGTGTGTCCTAAGTGTGCTGAGCAGTTGGCCTCCCCACAGGCCAGTGGGAACAGGCAAACACTGGTCCCCAGACCACCCCCAGTAAATGTCTGCCAGCCCTGGCTGGGATGCCCAGAGCCCCACCCCAACCATGCTGCCAGCCAGCCTCCCCCAGCTCCTCGGGGCACACCTCCACCCTGGAGCACGGCACTGGCGGAGCCCCCGGGGAGGGGAAGGGGCCCCGGAACTGCCGCCTGCGCACCTGGTGCCGGCAGACCTGCTGCAGCCCATTTGGTTACAGCCTCTCCTCCCTCCTTTGCATGCAACCCCCTGCAGGCCCAGCTGAGAGCCCCGTCCCCACGGCGGGGGCTCCTTCTCAGGCAGGTTCCCAGACCTGGGCGACACAGCCAACCCCAGGGCTCCCGATGCTTCCAGGCCTTGGGTCCAGGGCAGAAGGACCACCCAGAGCCCCAAGGTACACTGCTCCTAGGCAGGCCGAGAGGTCCCCGCTCCAGGACTGTCCCTACCCCAGCCGCAGACTAGAGGGTCCCCCCAGACGGGCTCCTGGGGTCCCCCCTGCAGTCTCCTCCTGACTGCTGAGGTGCCACCCCGGTGCTGCAGAGCAAAGGGGTTGCTTGCTCCCCAGGCACTGGTCCCTCCGAGACCCTCCCACAAGCAGCTGGAGAGCCTGGGACCCTCAGGCGGAAGAATCCTGGGTGTCCCTCTCCCTGTCCAGGAGCAGGATGGGTGCCCAGGGGCTGGGGTGCAGCAAGGCATCGAGGTCACAGTCAGTGGCTGCTCAAAGCCTGCCTGCCCAAATCACAGCTGGCCAGTCTTGGTGGCATCTGACCAACAGGAACTGACGTGCGGAAACCTCGGGCCCAGAGACGTGAGGGCGTCCTCAGGGGCCCCTGGGCGTGGCAGGTGAGTTTTGCTAAGCAAATCTTCCACCCCTCCCAGCCCCAAGTCACCATATCTGGGCCCCCAACTCGCCCCCTGGCCATCCCTGCAGAGGCCGCCACCTGCCATGCTGTGCCTGGCTCTGCTGGGCCTCTCCGCTCTGCTGGGCCTGGCGGCGGGGGCCCCGCTGTGCCTGTCCCGGCAGCTCAGGATGCAGGGCGACTACGTGCTGGGGGGGCTCTTCCCCCTGGGCGCGGCTGAGGACACAGGCCTCTGCGACAGGACACAGCCCAACACCACCACGTGCACCAGGTAGGGAGGCTGTGGGGGGGCCGGGTGGGTGCTCCCCAGCAGGGGTGAGGTGTCCCCAGCTGCAGCCCCGTGTGGCCCCAGGTTGTCCCCGCTCGGCCTGCTCTGGGCACTGGCAGGAAAGATGGCCGTGGAGGAGATCAACAGAGGGTCTTCCCTGCTGCCCGGGACGCTCCTGGGCTACGACTTCTTCGACACATGCTCAGACCCTGTGGTGGCCATAAAGCCCAGCCTCATGTTCATGGCCAAGGCAGGCGGCCGAGACGTAGCCGCCCACTGCGACTACTCGCAGCACCAGCCCCGCGTGCTGGCGGTCATCGGGCCCCAGTCTTCCGAGCTCGCCCTCATCACCGGCAAGCTCTTCGGTTTCTTCCTCATGCCCCAGGTGCGCCCCCCTAGCCCCCTCGCCGCCCACCCCCCACCCCCCGCCACCCCAGCTCACGGCAGGAGCCAGTCCCTGTCAGGACACACCTCCTGGCCACTGCAGGTCAGCTACGGTGCCAGCATGGACAAGCTGAGCGACCGGGAAGCCTTCCCGTCCTTCTTCCGCACGGTGCCCAGCGACCAAGTGCAGGCGACGGCCATGGTGGAGCTGCTGCTGGCGCTGCACTGGAACTGGGTGGCCGCCCTGGCCAGCGACGAGGAGTACGGCCGGCAGGGCCTCAGCCTCTTCTCCAGCCTGGCCAGCACGAAGGGCATCTGCATCGCGCAGGAGGGCCTGGTGCCTCTGCCCGGAGTCACAGGTGAGCAGCTGGGCACCATGTGGGACCTGCTGCGCCAGGTGAACCAGAGCAGCGTGGAGGTGGTGGTCCTCTTCTCCTCCGCCCGGGCCGCCCGCACTCTCTTCAGCTACAGCATCCGAAGCAGGCTCTCGCCCAAGGTGTGGGTGGCCAGTGAGGCCTGGCTGACCTCGGACCTGGTCATGACGCTGCCCGGCATGGCGCAGGTGGGCACCGTGCTGGGCTTCCTGCAGCAGGGCGCCCCGCTGCCCGACTTCGAGTCCTACGTGCAGACCCGCCTGGCCATGGCCGCAGACCCCGCCTTCTGCGCCTCACTGGACTCAAAGCGGCCGGGCCCGGAGGACCACGTGGTGGGGCCGCGCTGCCCCCAGTGCGACCACATCTCACTGGACAACGTGTCCGCGAGCCTCCGGCACCACCAGACCTTCGCGGCCTACGCGGCGGTGTACGCCGTGGCCCAGGCCCTGCACAACACGCTGCTGTGCGGCACCTCGGGCTGCCCCGCGCGGGAGCCCGTGCAGCCCTGGCAGGTGAGGGGGACGGGGTGAGCTGTGCTGGCCCTGTGTGTGTCCGGCACAGGTCGGGGGCAGGGGTCTGGGCCTCAGGTAGCTGGCCTGGCCCCGCCCACAGCTCCTCACGCCCAGCAGCTCCTGGAAAACATGTACAACATGAGCTTCCAGGCGAGCGGCCTTGAGCTGCGGTTTGACACCAGCGGGAACGTGGACCTGGGCTACGACCTGAAGCTGTGGGTGTGGCAGGACCAGATACCTGAGCTGCGCACCGTGGGCAGCTTTGATGGCCGCCTGCAGCTGCAGCCGTCCCGGATGAACTGGCACACGCCGAGGAACACGGTAAGAGCCACGGGGAAGCTCCAAACCGAGGTCTGCCCCGCCTGGGGGGGCGGGGGTGGGTGCACCCAGCCCAGCAGAGCCTTAGTCCTGAGGCCCCGCCAGATGCCCATGTCCCAGTGCTCGAGGCGCTGCGAGGAGGGCCAGGTGCGCCGCGTGAAAGGCTTCCACTCCTGCTGCTACGACTGTGTGGACTGCACGGCCGGCAGCTACCAGCGCAGCCCAGGTGAGCCCCCTTCCCAGCTCAGCCCCTTCCCTGCTGGTCTACACAAACCAAGGTAGGCATGGGGGGGGCCCTGTGGGGCTGGGAGCATGCAGCCTGGAGAGGACCCTGCTATGTCCCAGCTCAGAGGCTGACACCCAGGTCAAGCCTGGAATGGGGCAAGGCTGGGGGGGCGGTGCCCCCAGCACCCTCTCTCTCCCCCCTCACTGCAGACGACCTCCTCTGCACCCAGTGTGAGCAGGACCAGTGGTCACCAGACAAGAGCCTGCGCTGTTTCCCCCGCAAGCCCAAGTTCCTGGCGTGGGGGGAGCCGGCCACACTGCTGCTGCTTGCGCTGCTGGGCCTGGTGCTGGGCCTGGTGCTGGCGGCCCTGGGGCTATTTGTCTGGCACCGGGACAGCCCCTTGGTCCGGGCCTCGGGCGGGCCTCGGGCCTGCTTTGGCCTGGCCTGCCTGGGCCTCGTCTGCCTCAGTGCCCTCCTGTTCCCTGGCCGGCCCAGCCCCGCCCACTGCCTGGCCCAGCAGCCGCTGCTGCACCTCCCGCTGTCCGGCTGCCTGAGCACCCTCGTCCTGCAGGCAGCCGAGGTCTTTGTGGAGTCAGAGCTGCCATCAAGCTGGGCTGCCCGGCTGCGCAGCCACCTGCGGGGGCCCCAGGCCTGGCTGGCAGTGCTGCTCGCCGTGCTGGTGGAGGCTGTGCTGTGCGCCTGGTCCCTGGGGGCCTTCCCACCCGAGGTGGTGACGGACTGGCAGGTGCTGCCCACGGAGGCGCTGGTGCACTGCCGCATGCGCTCCTGGGTCGGCTTTGGCCTGCTGCACACAGCCAACGCCACGCTGGCGTTGCTGTGCTTCCTGGGCACCTTCCTGGTGCGCAGCCAGCCTGGCCGCTACAACGGCGCCCGCAGCCTCACCTTTGCCACGCTGGCCTACTTCATCACCTGGGTCTCCTTCGTGCCTCTATTCGCCAACGTGCCCGTGGTCCACCAGCCCACCGTGCAGATGGGCGCCAGCCTGCTCTGCGCCCTGGGCATCCTGGGCACCTTCCACCTGCCCAAGTGCTGCTTGCTGCTGTGGCAGTCAGAGAGCAACACTCCCGAGTTCTTCTTGGGAGGGGTTCCTGGCGATGCCAGAGGGCACGGTGGCAGCAGGGGTGGACAGGAGACTGAGCAAAAACCAGTAGCCCATGACCCAGTGGCTTCGCCCCACTGAAACCAGACCTGATGCCCACACAAACCACCCGAAGGCTGTTGCACCCTGCTAGGCACTGCCCCCACCTCTAGATTGTTCCCAGGCTGCCTGCTGACCTTCACCAAATGACCCCGGGACTGAATGGGCCCTGTGAGATCTCACCACCTGGGCACCGGGGGCCAGGACAGCCAGGGACAGCTGTCCTTGTCATGCTGCCCAGGGACCCTGCAGAGAGGGGCTGGAGGTCTCCCAGGCCCCTGAGGCCCACACTGTGCTCAGGGGAGCCCCACAGCTGGGCCAAGCCTGGGTCCCCCACCAGCACCCCACCAATCATCACTGGAGCGAGCGGGAGGCTGGCAAGTGGCTGGGGCTGCCCAACCAGGGGCCCCAGCGCAGGAGAGAGGCCCACTCGTGTGGAGAGGGACACCAGCTTCCTTCTCTCTTCCTGCCCTGAGTGGGTAGAACGGGTCGGCCCACCACCAGCACCGTGGACAGAGCCCAGCCAGGGTTGGGGGTCAGCACCAAGGCCAGCGCCAGCTGCCAGGAGGGGACCCCTGGAACCAGCACTTCGTACAGAAGACTTTCTGCCAGGACCTGGCCAGCTGCCAGCGCGGGTTGGCGCCTCTTCACTGAACTGGGCCCGAGGACAGTGCCTGGCTAGTCCTGGGCCGGCTCCGGCCCGACCCCAGGGAGCCTAGACCTGCTCCCACACCCCCCCTCCTTAAGGCAGCCGGACACAGGAAAAGAGACACAGGCCACACGTCAGTCCCATAAAATTAAATGCTTTTTCGTGTTTAAAATAGCATTTGCACAGAAGTGGCTCTACAACTACCCGGACAACACTCTGACTGGTTACGGCTTCAGCAGCGCAGACGCGTGCAGGCCGGTCGAGGGCAGGGAGCCGTGTGCCTGGGGCTGGACCTGGGGACGGCAGGGCGGGGCACTGGCTGCCAGCTTCCCCAGAGCTGCCCCGGCAGCAGCTGAGCATGCACGCGCTCTACCCCGCCTTCTGCCGAGAGTGCCCCGCTCCCACCCACCCCTCACCGGCCCCCCCAGTACTCTGATGGGACCTGTGTCCCTGCACTCACGCAGAGATCTGGTGGCGGAGGGGTCACGCAAGCTCTGCTCCGGCCGGAATGGGGCTGACTTGGCCACGACCTCCCCCAAAGGACACAGGCCAAGCAATAAATAAATAAATTACACCCCTGCAAGGCGGGCGGGAGCTGCAGGCGGCCAGCAAGGCTCGGGCCCAGCCACCACCGCTTGGCCTGGCCTGGGGCCCTGTGCACACCACCCTGGGCAACAGGCGTCCTGGGGGCACAGAGGCAGCTCCCCAGGGTCCCCAAGGACACACTGGCCTGACAGGAGCAGCTGGGCTGCTGAGTCCAGCTCACAGGACTGTGGCTGCCCCCCAGCCTGCCCCCACTCTGCCTGGCCCTGGACCCCACAGCATGGCCCCTTGCGCACAAGGGAGGCTGGCCTGACCCAGGATGGCCACTGCCAAGGCAAGGGCCACACAAGCTCCAGCGCCTTCCTGCAGGGGGCAGCAGAGAGCACACTGTTCCCGGTCACATGATGTCGACGAAGAACTCGCAGGGGTTCCCCATGGCCTTCTGGAAGGACTGGCGGCTGCCTGTCAGCTCTGGGGGGACAGCGGCCAGCTCCCGGACGGGGGGCCCCCCAGGTGGCCCACCCACCACTGAGTATGCCTTCGTCAGGGGGTGCAGTGGGGGGAGCCCCGGAGCAGTGGCTGAGGCCTGGCTGTGTGGGCTGCCACCACGGCTGAGCTGGCTGGCAGGACGCTCCCGCCAGCCGCCGCCACCTGCTCCGCTTGGGGCTGTGTGGTCCGACTCGCTGCCACTGCCCCCAGCTCCCGGCCCCCGGCGCTCCTGCTCTCGGCCCAGGGCCCGCCGGCTGCTCCCGCCTGCGCTCCGGGCAGACCCGCTGCTTTTGCTTCCTGCGGTGGAGAAGGGGGAGAATGGACGGTCAGGGCCAGGCCTCGGCTCTTCCAGGACAACTGGTCACTGCTAAGGCAACCAGGGGCAGAGCCTGGTGGTCCCAAGCCGGGGTAGGGGTGGGGGTGGCCATGCAGACACAGGGCAGGACTGGCCCTGCCCAGACGCGAGAGCAGCGGCAGCGGGGCGGGGGCAGAGGCAGGCAGGCGGGGCTCCTCTGGGGCCAGCGCGGTGCCCCTACACCTCACCCTGATGCGGGCACCGAGGGCCTGGCCTGGCAGCTCAGAAGCAGGCAGCAGCGGAGGCCTGGTGTGCCAGCTCGCATCGGCCCTCCTGGGCGCCCCTCCCCGAGACCCACCTTCTATCAGACCCCAGGGCCCTAGCCAACTACTCGGCTCAGCCTCGTCCTGGGCTCTCAGGAAGCACAGGGGACCCAAGGACGCCGCCTGGCGAGGGGCATGCCGGGAGGGAGCCGGACAGGACCCAGGCTTACCGGCCCGAGGGTCCGCTCCGCTAGTCCTTCAGTCTAAGGCTTGCTCAGCACAAAGCAACGGAGAGCACGAGTTACACGCCAGGCCCCGCCCGGGAACCCACACCCGCCTATCAGGGCGCACCCGCCACCAGCTTCCCTCCGGCACCACGGCCCTGCACCCTGCCCTCCTGCCTGGATCCATGGGGGCTAGTTGCCCGACCCTCCCCAGAGCATGTGGGCCCTGCCCCCAGCCTCACTGGTCTACTCAGCCTCAGGCCACTGTCCCTCCTCAGGGGCGCCCCAGCCTGTCCCCAAGCCCACTGCACATCCCAATGTGGAGTGTGGTTGTCTAGGTCACCGCCGCCTCTGGCCCCGGGCTGGGCGGCAGGCATCTGGGGAAGCTGTCTGTCCTCCGCTGAGCCTGGGGCCCAGCTGCTCTAGTCCACCCCGACACTCGCTGCCCTTCCCGCACCGCCTCCTGCCTCTGCCTCTGCCCCAGAACCCCCCGAGCCTCCAGTTCCTCCTCACCACCCCCCAGCCACTCACCCCAGGAAAGGGAGCCCACCCAGAGCCGCAGCAGAGCAGGCGGAGCACACAGGGCAGAGCCAGGCAGCGGGGGGCAGGGAGCCAGGCCCTGGCAGGCTCTCACCTTCACTCTGCTGACTCCCGGCACTGCCGCTGCCGTAGCTGAAGCTGGGGTCCTGGTATGCAGGCGGGAAGCAGGGCGGGGGCCCCGGATACTGGTAGGGATAGCCCTGGCCCAGGGGCCAGGGAGCCGGGTGGGGCAGCGGGGCCAGCGTGTCCTGGTCCGAGGCCCCGCTGGAGCCGCTGTTGAGGTTCAGGGCTTCGAGATCTGGCAAAAGGGAGCAGAGGGTAAGAGCGGCGGGGGTGGGCCTCCCAGGGCCCCCACCCTGCAGCCCCACTCACTGCTGCACAGGTCCCCAAAGACGTAGTAGCACTGCTCGGAGAAGGTGACCTTGTTCACCGTGTGCCGCAGGAAGCCGCGCTTCAGCATGCTGCTGGCGTACTTGCGCGCCTCCCGCCGCTCCTTGAAGCCCTCCACGTGCGTGTACAGCCAGTCCACCACGTCCGCCCCTGCCGAGGCTCACGTCACACAGCAGCCGGGCCACTGCCCGCCCACGGCGCCCTCCCGGTCCCAGCAGGCCACTCACCGATCACGGCGTTGGCGATGGTGATCTTGAGCCACATCCGGTCTCGGATCTCCAGCCCGGAGTCGGGCAGCTGCATGACCCGGACCACGGCGGCCATGTCGCTCTTCACGGTCAGCGGCGCCTCCTCCAGCTCTGCAAGACACCGCCTTCCTCAGTGGGCAGCGGCGGCGGGCCCTCGCAGGCTGTGGCTGTGGGGCCCCCAGACAGGGGCGTGGCCGTGGGGGGCTGCTCTGCTATCCCTGCGTGGGCCCCCCCCCCCAGCCCACAGCCCAGTGGGACCTCGGCGTCGCCCCTCCTGCCGCCCCTCCCCCGCGGTTAGTCGTGTTAGCAGCAGAGAGAGCAGGCGAGACTCCACGCACACCGGCCCCGGGGCCCCGGGGCAGACCAGGCTGTCCCGGCCACCAGGCGCCTCCACTGCCCCACACGGGACGTGCCCTGGGCACAGGGGGCCTTGCGGCCGCAGCAGGGATCCTGACGCTGGCCCTGGGGTGTGGCCCTGCCGGGCGCCTCGACCTGGTCCTCGGCTGGTGTCCGTTTCCTGGACTAAGTGCCACTTACGTGGGGCGCCAGGCACAGAGCTGGTTAGTGAGGAGGAGCTGGTGCGCGTGACGGCGCTGGAGCAGGGGCTCGTACCGTAGCGGGGCAGGGCTCCGGTCAGCGCCGCCGTGTGGGACAGCCAGGCGGCCGGGTCGATGGGCCGCACAGGGTCAGCTGGGTGGCCGCCACGTGGCAACAGACAGTGAAGAGCAGATGTGGAGGAGAAAGTGGGGCACAAGGGCAGGAGGGAGGGAGGCCCCCAGCCCGGCCAGCGCCCCCACCCCCGCCCGCCAGCACCGGAGCCCACTCACCCCTGGGCACGGTGAAGTAGCTCCGGGGGGTTGGGTCCCAGCACTTGGCCACCGTGAGGCTGATGGGCCTGTTGGGCAGAAAGGAGAGGGTCATACGGGACCCCTGTGCACCCCCCCACCCCCCACTGTGTCCCCAGGACTCACCCCGTCTGGGACACAATCTCCCGCAGCACCCGCACGGCATCGTCATTGCTCATGTTCTCGAAGTTGACATCGTTCACCTGGGGGGACGGGTTCAGTGCAGTGGCAGGTGGGGGGGTGCGGGCCTTCCAACCCCCCCAGCAGCTCCCGCAGCCCCACCTGCAGCAGCATGTCGCCCGGCTCGATGCGGCCGTCGGCAGCCACGGCCCCGCCCTTCATGATGGAGCCGATGTAGATGCCGCCGTCCCCGCGGTCGTTGCTCTGGCCCACAATGCTGATGCCCAGGAAGTGGTGCCTTTCTGTGGGGGGGAACGGTGAGCAGCCCGGCCCGGAGACCCCACCCCCCCGGGGGCCACGGCAGCCTCACCCATGTTGAGCGTGACGGTGACAATGTTCAGGGACATGGTGGAGTCCGTGATGCTGCTGAAGGACGAGGCCTGAAAGGGCACCAGGTGAGGGGCCCGGGCAGGCGCACGGCCCACCCCAGCCCCGGCCGCTGCTACCTACGCGGTCCGCCTGCCGCAGGCGCTGCTTCCGCCGCCGCCGCTTGTGCTTCCGGATGAGCCGTGAGGAGGTGCTCTGCTCCGTGGAGCTGCTCAGCCTGGGGGTGCAGAAGTGGGGGTGGCATGGAGGTCAGAGGTGCCCAGGTCAGGGGAGGGGAGCTGGAGGGAGGAGGTGGCAGAGAACAGGCACCCCCCGCCCCACACACACAGTCCAGGGAGGGCGCTGGAGACGCCAGGCAGGGTTGGTCGGGAGGCTGGGCGGCTCCCGGGCAGCCCACCCTGCACAGTGCACGACACACGCACGCCCACACCTACGGGGCTCACTGCTCACAGGCAAACCAGACATCAATCAACACCAGGCAGGCAACACGGCTGTCCGTGCCGGCACACACTCAAGTGTGCACCGAGTGCATGTGGCACACCCCCTGCATACACACACACTCATGCAGCGTGCGAGCGCCGCTGTAAAACGCCCGTGTGCACACACCACAGCCACGATGCATGCCCACGCACACCTGTGAGGCTGAAACACCTGTGTGGGCACGTGTGCCTTTGCACACATGTACTCACACGCACCGGCTCGTGTTGTCCTCCTCGTCAGAGTCGATGAAGCTGCTGGACTCCAGCTCGCTGCTCAGCACAGTGGACGTGCTGTCTGGGGGGAGACCCAGGTCTCGCCGCCGGTCCCCCCTCGGGTGCCCATTGGCCCGGGCGGCTGTGGGGGTGAGAGAGGAGTGAGCCGACCACACTCCCTGGGGGTCCCAGTGGCCTGTGTGGGCTCAAGCCCCTGTGGACCTGGGAGCAGGCAGTGTAAGCGCGGGGTCAAGGAGGTCCTCAGGAGGTCAGGCCTCAGACCTCTCCCCAGAGACCCCCAAGGGCCTGGGGCAGGGACACGTGGTCAGCGGGGACTGGGGTGCACCGCGGGGCCTGGGGGCCCGTTACCCTCATCCCGGTTTCGGCGTCGGGCTCGCTCGCGCCGGTGGCTGACCATGGACTCCGTGCCAGTCTCGTTGTCCATCCCGTCCCGGCTGCTGGCCACGTTCGGGCTGTGCCGAGGACAGCGTCGGGCAGACTGGGCACCACGGCCTCGGCCCCTCTCACCCCCTCGCCTGCCCTCACCAGGCGAGACCCTGACTCCGGAAAACCCTCATCCACCACCCACTGGGCCTGGGCCTCTCTGCCGGCCCCTCCTCTGCTGACCAGTCCCTCCTGGCTGGAGGCTCTGCCCAGCTGCCCGTCTCCCAACAGGCTTGGAGGGGGCCCTGCAGGACCACCAGGCTCAAGCCCCCAAAATTCTTACTGGAAAGAGGGGGGCCGGGAGTCCCCAATGCCACCCATCCGCTCCAGGGGCGGGGGCAGGTCGCCGTGGCCGTCGGTGGCCTGAGAACCAGTGTCCGAGTGTGCACCCTCGGCCAGGACCAGCTGCGGAGGACAGTGACGCTCGGGGATGCTACCAACCTCCGGCCGCACCGCCCACCCCACAGCACACGCGGGTCACAGGCGACCAGCCTTCCTCCACCTGCACACTCAGCTCACTGCAGCCCCGCCCCCCCCGCCCCATCCCCCACTCACCCAGGACACCACACGGCCGTTGAAGCAGGGCAGCCGGGCGTTGTCAGCGGAGATCTCCTCCTTGACCACCCTGCAGGCAGACACCTCCATGGGACGCCCACCAGGCCCTCAAGGTCACCCCACCCACCACACTCCCTTGCTGGGGCCTCTGGTCATCCTGAGGTCCCTTGCCAGGGCCCAGTCCACAGACTCCAGACTGCCGCTCCAACAGCACTGGGGTGTCACTGCCTGCAGCACCCCATAACACGAGTTCCACCTGCTCTGCTCCTGTGCGCCCTCGGGGGGGACTCTGTGAGGGAGGGGCCCCAGGGAGGGGCCCCAACCCCCCCCCAGGGCTCCACACCCCAGTACAGGGCCGAGTCATGGCACAGATGTGGGGGCGGGAAGACCCACAGACACAGGCAGGTTGAGGTGGCAGGACACACTGTCCCCCTAAACTCTCTCTCCCCTGATTCCCACAGGGAAACCAGCAGGTCCCCAGGCTGCACCAGCCCAACTCAAGACCAGAGAGATCAGGAAGCCCTGCACCACGCCCACTACCCAGCAATCAGCGGGGAGTATTTTTTAAAGCTGTCCCTGGTCCCATGGGCGGGAGGGTTGGGAAGGGCAGGAAGCAGAGGGCCAGGGCACGGAAAAGTGAGAAGACCGCCCATTTCCCTGGGGTTGGAAAAAGGTGTGGGGGGGCCAGGTTTCAGGTTCAAAGAGGTGACAGGGATGGCAGCCAGCACAGTGGCAAGGGCCCAAGGGGCAGGACAGGCATGGGGTGTGGCCCAGACACACCCCCCTGCCCCCACTGTGGCCCCTGGAGGTCCGGGGGCAGGCCCGGTGGGGGAGGGGGGCTGCAGCGGGAGGGGCTGGGCGCTCTGCTGGGCTCAGCGGGCTTTCCGTGCCCGAGACTTGGGCCCAGCGGAGGAATGAGAGCCAGGAGCCGGGACCTGGAAGCAGCCTCAGCTCAGTGAGTCCTGGGTGAAGGAGCCCCCAGAGCAGACAGCCCACGCCCCACCCAGGGAGAAGGCCTCAGTGCACCCCACCCCCAGGAGGGACTCTGGACCTGGGGGTAGAGCGGACGGGGGAGACAGGGACAACCTGAGGGCGGGGGCACCTACCAGGGTCCTGTGGACAATACCCCAGACACCTCCCAGGTCCAGCCCCACGTGCACAGAAAAGGGGACACAACACTTCTCAGGGCCCCACACCCCAGGGAAGAGGAGCCCCTAGGTCGGCTGCCCCCTTGGGTGCACCACAGCCCTGCAGAGCTGAGCTTCTGTGGAGGCCATGGCCTGGCCCGTGTCTGGCCGAGGACACAGAAAAGCTGGGGTGGCCGGGGGACAGTCAGGGGCACTGCTTCTGACTGCCAGCAGCACAGGGCCGGTCCCCACACAGACCGGTGACCCCTCCAGTGGCCTCCCCACCACGCCCAAGCTCCCGCCCTTTCTGACTCACCCGCAGAGAGGCAGATAAGCGTCCTCAGCCCCCACACCACAGGGCTCCCCGGCTTCCCCGGGGCCTAGGAACACCCCAAACCCCTACTGCTCCCCCGCCTGGGGCCTCTCGACCCATCCCCCAGGGCTGCCGGAGGCCTCTGAGTCCCCCACCCAGGCACAGACACCCCCACAGGTCCCAGAGGTCCTGCTCCCAGCCCTCCCCGGCCTAAAGAACCCCCATCCTACACCCAAGACAGAGCACCCTACCGCCCACCTGGGCCCCGGGCAATGGGGGTCCCACGGGCCTCAGCCCTGCTGGGCCAGGACAGCAGGGAAGCAGCAGACAGATGCCAGAGCCCCAGGGCACAGGGCACAGGGCTCTCCCCGGGGGGAAATGCCCCACCGCCACCCCGAGGCCCCCCCTGGGCCGGCCTCCCTGGGAGGGGGAGCAGGCCTCTGGTGCAGGTCCCCCAACCCTCGGAAGCGGCAACTCAGGCACCCCTGGTGGCGTCTTGCCCCTGACCTCAGGGTGGCCGGCCAGATCCCAGTAACCACGGACTTGTGGCTGCCCCGCCCGCTACCCCCGCAGACTCGCCCTGGCAAGGGGTGTGCTCCAAGCAGAGCCCTGGGCGCTGGGCACAGCCAAGGGCCAGGGGGCCCAAGAGGCTCCTGAAGCTGCAGTGGCCACAGCCAGCCCTTCCCTGGGGAACAGCCCTAAGTGTGTCCCCAGAGACACAGGGTCCCCCGCCCTCCCTCCCCACCACAGAGCGGGAAGCTGGGGAAGAGAACAGGCCCGGGACAAGGGAGGAAGGGCCGTGCCCGAGCCCCCCAGTAGCCTCCCACCAGGTTCAGACTCCGCATCAGGACACGGAGGGGCTCAGTCCTCCACATCTCACCGCATGTTCTGGGGGGTGACCGTCACCTCCAGGGGCCACTGACCCCAAATGGCACAGCTGTGGAGAGCAGAGTAGGACTCGGCCAGGCGGAGTCGCCACCCCTACCCCACAGCCCCCACCCAGCACCGTCCAGGGCCCACAGGCAGGTGGCCCCAGAGACCAGAGGTCCTGACCCAGAAACAGAGGCATCTGGGCCACAGCCAGATAAACTACGTGCCCAGTCCAGCCTGGCAGAGGAGCTGCGCTCCCAACACCCTCCACCTCCGGGGAGCCAAGGGCTAGGCTCCACGGCCGCCCTATGCTGCCCCTCACCACGGACCCAGAGGCCCTCCCCCACTTTGATGGGTCAGGACAGCTGTGACCTGCCCGGGAAAAGTGGGCGGTGGGTGCAAGGCCCCTACCCATTCAGCCAAAGAGACCCACCGGAAATGGGACCCGGCCCCACCTCGGATGCCCCTTCCCTCACTGGGCGGCCATCTGTGGCCCGAAGCAGAGGTTCGGGAATCCAGGGCCCAGCCGACAGCAGGATGGGTGGGGACAGCACGCCCAGGCCCCCACCTGAAGTCACCCCGTCACGGGGGGCCACTGTCCTGGCCCCACAGGACCTGCCCCCTGCCCCCCCCCCCCCGTCCAGCTGCATCCACTAGACATCCAGGTCCCCTTCACACTAAGGTTGGATGGGTCACCCATCCCAGAGGGAGCTTGTCCCGGGAAGAAATGACACTGCTGGACAGACAGACAGACCTGGAACTCTGCAGGCACACCTCAGAAGAGGAGAGGAAGGAGGCAGCTGACGGGGACCCTTGACCTCCAGGCCACCGGCCAGAGATCCTGGGAGGACACACAGTGAGCCTCCTCCACTCTGTGTGCTCACTGCGCCTTCCAACGTCACCCCGATCTGTCCTCCTCCCGACCCACCTCGACCCACAGTGGCCCCTGCTCCAGCCAGCATCCCAGCCGCTCCCAGGCAACCTGGGAACCCCAGTCCTGCTCCAAGACCCCAAGGGCCTGCCTGCCCACCTCCTGGGCCAGCGCACCCACAGGTCCTGAGAATCCCCCGGCAGGCAGGCCTCCCTGGGGGTGCCGGTGGGGTGGGGGCCCTGCGGGGCTCTCGGACACAGGCCAGAGGTTGGGGTCAGAGGATGGCACACTGGGGACTGGGCACGTGACTGACACACCACTGGCTCTATGCCAGCTTCAGTTTGTGGCAAAGAACATGTGTGACTTTGGTAACTTGTCAAGACAATAAACTGAGTTAAAAACATAAGTGGCCTTTCACAGAGCCCATGGTCACAGCCAAAGCCACCAGGACCCAGAGAAGCAGAGACTTCATGAGACCACTGAGTGCGGCAGCAGAGTACCCCCCCACCCACCATGGAGCCTGGCCCCAGGTGGGCTCCCAAGCTGCCAGCCAGGGCTGGGGCATCCTGCCTTCCAAGGCTGCCAGGGACACACCTGTCCCTCTGTGCCTCTCCGTGATGGGGGCACCCAGAAAGTCCAGTTGTCCAAATGTCCCTCAGGTCCCCACGGGCCGCAGAGCAGCCCCAGCTGCACCTCAGCTGCAGCCGCCCAGGGGCCGGGCAGACTACAGAATCCAGGAAACAGCCTCAATGTCAAAATCCCCAGACGGAGCCACATGCAAGGACATGGGCTGCCCCAGGGCAGCCAGGCACACCTGCCACAGGGCCCCTGGCCCCCTCCCAGCTCTGGGACTCAGGTTACTGCTGGCAGCGCTGGGTCAGGCCTGGAGCGAACAGCCGGCCTCCTGCTCTGTGTCCCAGAGGCCCAGCCAGAGCAAGTGTGAAGTGCTGTCAGTGAGACCGCCAGCCGCCGCAGGCATCAGTGCAGGGACGCTGACCCACAGGCTGCTCCCAGGACGCCCAGTGCAGGGACAGAGGCCCAATGGCAAGCAATCCCCAGGGCAGGGGTGGGTGGAGTGACCCTTAACCTCTGCCTTGTCCTCAGGATCCTGGAGCAAGTGGCCATGGCTAGTCTGCCTTGAGCCCCTGGAAACTTCTGCAGACCCCAGCACACAGATCCGTGCCCCTGTCCCAGGTCTCCTCGTTTCCCCTCTATGCGAACTAGGGGACCCACTGTGTGGCTGGGGCTCTGCCCCCACCTTGACCCCTTCAGCCCTGACATTCCCACGGATACTCGCTGACCCCAGGTCCCATAAACCACGAGCTTCCAGGCCAGCCCGAAGCACCTGCACTACGCAGAGGGGAGAGAGCGAGCCCTAGTGCGGGTCGCCCTGAACCACAGGCTCTGACACGCAGGTCACACGCACTCAGGCCCACAAGCCCAGGCCCAAGAAGGGTGGAGAAGCCAGGACGCTAGCCCCGCCGCTGCGCAGACAGGTGCCAACCCAGCGCCACGCGCGGATCCGGCGGCCCACTGACCCGAAGTCCTGGTCCATGGACTTGAAGAAGAATTTGTAGGCGTGCACCGGCCGATTGCTGAGCACGTTCTTGAAGTCGGCCAGCGTGACGCGCTCGGGCGCCACGGGCAGCTTGACCAGGTACGGCGTCTCCTCCTCGTCCATGTGATAGATGATCTTGGTCTCCGCCATGGTGCGGCGGCGGCGGGCGCGGGGCCCGCACAGCGTTCAGGCCCGGCCCCGGGCTTGGACACGGGCGCCTCCCCTCCGCCGGCCTGCTCTCGGCCCGGCCGCCCCGGCCTCGCCCGCCCGGCCGCCCCCGACTCCGCGCACACCCCAGCTGCTGCCCCGCGGCTCGCGGCCGCCCATCCGCCCCCGACCCGGGGACACAGGCAGGGACCGCGCGAGGCCCGGCCGCCCCCTCGGGCCGCGCAGTTCCAGGGACCGCCCGGCACGGGGATGCGAGCGCCGCCTGCGGGGGGCGCCCGAGAGCGCGGCGGAGCCTGACGTCACCGGGCCGTCTGCGCCGCGGAGGCGGGGCTGCGCAGGCGCGAGAGAGCGGGGCGCGCTCGTGGCTGGGCTCCGGACTGCGCGCCCGCGCGCGGCGTCCAACGCGCTCTTTCCGGACCCGCCCCCTGTCTCCCGGCCGGGCTCGCGAAGGTGCCCACGACACACTCTGGGGCTGTCGGCCGGTGCAGACAGGGAGTGCCTCCAGGTCAGGAGGTCGGTGGGGACCCACCTGCAGGTCACGCCCCCAGCCGTCAGAGGAGAGACCCCCCCCCCCGCCCCGTCGGGAGCCCTCCGAAAAGTGTCGCTTGACGGGGTTCCGGTTCTCCGCCCCCTCGCGAGGGCTCCCCGGCCCGTGGGTGTTCAAAGTCCGGAGGCTTCCTGGTCACATTGGCGGGCTGTTGGGGGCTTCTCAGAAAGCCGAGGACTTGGGTCGCCACTGGAAGGGAGGATACCCGGTACCGCCTTGCACCCCCGCGCCAGCTCCGACCTCGCGCACGCTCTACCGGTATCCCCGGGAACTTTGAGCAACACGGGCCAAGTGATTGCGGGGCGCACTCGGGGGTGCGGGTGTGAGCAGAGCTTGTGATGCCAAGGCAACCCCGGAGGTGGCGGGCGTCAGCACAGCAGCTGTGCGCGCGCACGTGAGCCCGGACGTGCCCGGGCACGCAGCTTCTGGCAACAAGTGCAAGGATTTCCCCCCCACTCCTCCGCCCCGGGCTCTGTCAATCTAACCACCCTGAGGTTGTCGGTCAAGGGAGACCTTGAGCAGCTCCCCTTCTGTTGGGCTGGGAAGGATCCAGCCACAGGCGTCTCCCACCGCAGTGAGCCAGTGGCCTTTCCCCAGCTCCGGGAGGAAGACTTGGTCCACTAGAGGGAGTCCCCCCTGGCAAGAGAGTAACAAGAGGGGCAGCCCTAGTGTGGGACCTGGGCGGGGTAGGTGCTGCCCCTCTCACCCCACCCCAGCACTGCTCTTGAAGCTGCCTGGAGCCTAGGACCACCCTCAGGCAGTGGTCCCACACAGGAAAGACCCCACCAGTCCAGCCAGAGTGCCGGACAAAAGCTGCTGAGCCCAGGCCAGGACTGTCCCCAGGTCAGCGCAGGCCGGGGACCTGACCTCCACTCCCCTAGGCTCTGGGAGGTCAGCACCCATTGGGCAAGACCTGGACCTTCTCCCCTCCGGTTGTCGGTCTCCCCAGAGGCTCCCTGAGGAAGCCAGGCAGCGTGGCCTCGGAAGGGGTGTCCATCACAGCTCCGTGCCAGATATCCAGGGAAGAAGGAAGACAGTGCCCACCTGAGCGCTCACAGGGTAGGGGCATCCTCCAAGCCATGCACAAGGCTGCTGGCCGCACAGACGGAGGGACCTGATGCCCCAGCGGCTCTCTGGCCCCCGAGGTCATCTGTCCCACCTGATGGCCCGAGTCATGAGAGACACGCGGAGAGCTGACCCCTGCTGATGCCACTGTGGTCAGGCTCAGGCCCTGAGGGAGGGAGAGTCTGTGGCCAGAGCCTAAGCCCTTATAGGTGGGCCTTGTCCAGTGGAAGTGGTGGTCACCGGGGGCCAGGAGTCACTGGGCTGGGAGGGAGGCACACTCAGACAAGCCACAGCTCCAGGGCCAGCCTCCCTCCCTGCTTTTGCCACTGTGGGTCCTTGCGTGTATCTTGGGCAGGGCAGGGAGGTGCTGGCTATTTGGGTCTTGGCCTTGGCCAGTGTCACAACACTCCTCACGGCCGCAGAATCTGGATTCAGACAGGGTTCCCACCCAAGCTCTCACCGTGCTTTTCCTGGGCACCCTTTAAAATAACCGCTGTGAAGAATGAGCGATCCCTGCCCAGCCACCTTGAAAGAAGCAGAAGCTTCCATCTCCTGTTGGCTTGTGCCGGGTCGGGAGGCTGCCCTCCTCCCAGCCCCATTTCTGGCACCTGCAAAGTAATAGGTCCCGTGGCTTTATTTCCTTTGTGTGAGTTTATTGACACTGCTCTTCTCAGAAACAGCCCCCAAGGCAAACGCTCAGATGCCCAGCGTGGGGGTGGCTGCTGTCTCCTCGTGTAGCAGGCCGTGTTCTAAACACACCAGCTCCCAGGGATTGTGCAAACACAGGGTGACGGCCAGGCTTTCCTGCTCCCTGCTGTCGGGGGGGTAGCGTCGGGGCTGGGAGACATGGGCTCCTCCCTCCCGCAGCCCCTGCCCTGTAGTAGGAGGGTCACACCGGCACCCTGTCTGCAGGCGCATGCTTCCTCCTGCCCCCCACCTGTATGTTCCCACATGGAGCCCCACCTGCTTCTCAGAGGACCAGACTGACACCCGGTCTCTGTCCTCAGTCCACCAGCGTGCTCCCTTCCCCTGCATCCAAAAAAACCCCAGGAGCTGACGACCCCAAACTCCGCCCCAACCAGGCATAAGTGCTGCGGGATTCTAAGGTCTGTCTTCCCAGGACACCCCACCCAGACTTTCTAGCCATGTGGATACTGGCAGTGGGCCTTCTGGTGACATGGGACTGGTCATTTGGGGGCTCACAGGCCCAGAGTGGGCCCCCTGGGAGGGGCAGGGACAGCAGAGGAACACCTGGGGCAGAGTCTAAGAATCTGATAGGGTCTTTATTGTGATGGTGGCGATTTCCCAGGAGGAGTGAATGTGGGTGTCGGGAGTGGCCCCACAGGCTGCTCTAAAACTGCTTTCACCCCTCCCCTGTCAAAACAGAAGCCAAATGATACGCGGCCCCAAGACTCCAGCCCAGGGAGGGACCAGAAGTCTCCTGGAGCCCAGAGACTGTCAAGGCAGCTTATGGGGAAGGAGGCCAGAGCAGGCTGGGAAGCAGAGAAAGGGCCCAGGGAGGCGGCCCCTGGGGGCCTGAGGCGGCACAGAGGGGCACCAGCCCCCCGCTGGGGGGGTGCCATCCTCAGGTCCCCAAGTGCAGCCAATGGCAGCCTGGCCGGAGGACCACAGTGCAGACTGGGAGCCAGCAGGCAGCTCCCCGCAGGAAGGCTTGGAGACGCCCAGAAGCCGACCCCAGTTCCTGAGTCCCTGCTGAGCCCCCCTGCAGGGTGTCTTGCCGCCCTGCCCCTGCCCCTGCCCTGCCCCTGCTCGGCTGCGGCTGCCCAGAGACCAGGGTTTGAAGAGCCTGAGGGCTTGGTGAACATCAGTGAGGGCATCAGGTGCCCAGGGGGCAGGGCCAGCAGTGAGGCCCTGCAGCCAGCCCCTGAGGACTGGGCCTCAGAGTCCCCAGGGCCCACAGAACCCACTGCTGCTTGCTGGGGTGGGGCAGCTCCCAGGAGAGGGCTCTGGCTGTAGCCTCGCTCTGCACCAACCCACTCCAAGTTCCAGGACAGCGGGACCAGCCGCTGCGGGGGGGCCACACGAGCTGGACAGGGTCAGTCAGGAGGATGTACTGGCTGGCCAGGAGCTTGATCACCTCACTTGCAGTATTCCTTCCTGAACTCTGGAAGCCAAGGGGACACGCGGGTGGGTGGCTGCCCTCCAAGTGGCTGCAGGGCTGCCCCCAGGGTTTCTGGAAGGCTAAGGTGGCAGGGGACCCCCTGTGGGGCTGTCCGGGAAGGCATGGACTGGGACTCAGCCTGGTTCTCTGGGCAGGAGGCTGGCTCCCAGCCGCTCACCTTTGTCCAAGTCGATGTGCTTGGCGGGCAGAGGGCAGTGAGCCAGCTCCGCCCTCTCCTTCAGGAGGTTGTTTTTGTAATCTGGGGTAGGGAGAGGGCAAATGAGCCCCTCGGGCGAGCCTCCCCGGCCCCCCCTTCCCGGATCCTCACCCCTGTGTTCCTGTGTGCATGGGGGAGGGGGACTCACCTAGTTGGATATCCTCCGTCCTGTAAAATGCCTGGTCCCCGCCGGCCACAGCGAACTCCGCCATGTTCACGTCTTTCCTGGAGGAGGAGGGGGAGGGGAGATTAGGGCGGCAGGTGGGGCGGGGCCTGGCCGCCCAGGACAGCGAGAGGGGGCACTCACCTCTTTGACTTCCCGGCCGAGTACTCATAACCTGGGGAGGGAGACGGGTGTTGGGGACAGTTTGGGCCCCGCCCCAGCACCGAAGGTCACGGGGTCCCCTGCCCGCCATCTGCCCTGGCACCGAACCTCAGCACCACAGGCCCCTCCTCTGGCCCCAGTTCTGGCCTCCTTCCCGCGCAGAGGCTCGGAGCTCGCTCACCTCCGCGGCGGCGGTGACGCGCGGCCAGGACAACAGTGATGAGCAGCAGGATGAAGAGCAGCAGCGTGGCCAGCACGTAGCCCAGCTGTTGGAAGAAGTGGGCCCGGCTCTCGGGGACGATGACGTTGATAACGCTGCGGCCTCGCGCCAGCGTGGGATCTGCAGGGGCCGTGCCGGGGCGGGTCAGGGAGCTGGCCACGCGGGACACCGCCACCCGAGCCACTCTTCCTGTGCCATGTGGATCTTGGGGAAGGGACAGGCGGCCACAGCCCGCGGGGGCCACCCCTCGCTGACCCCAGGTCCCTGGTGGCAGTTCCCGGCTCTCAGATGTTCCCCAGGCGCCCGGGGCAGCCTCCTTCACCTGGCGCGGGGGCGCTGCTGTGGCTGGAGCCGTTGCCCGGCGAGTCCCGCGGGGGCGGCTCGGCGGGGGCGGCGGCGGGGGGCTCGGTCACTTTCAGGTGGAAGATGCGGCGCTCGTGGAGGCCGCAGTAGTGGTGGTGCAGGTGGCAGGAGTAGGTGCCCTCGTCGGCCGGCTCCAGCGGGGCGATGCGCAGGGAGAAGTCGCCGCGCGCAAAGGCGTCCTCCTCCACTGCCACGCGGTCGCGCAGGAAGGGTGGCCCGTAGGCGCGGCGCTCGCCTGACGCGTACAGGTCGAGCAGTCGGTCGGCGCGGTCGTGTGGGACCCCGGGCGGCTGCCGGTCCCAGTGCACCACCTGCTGCGCTTCCTCCAGGTGCCAATCGGTCCACACGTGCGCGCGGTTCACGCAAGTCAGAAGCGCGGGCGCGCCGAGCTCCACCACCAGCACCTCCTTCTCACCGTCCCAGTGCGCACCGACTTCCCGGGCTGGGGGACGCAGGTCGGTCAGCACCGGGAGGGGGCCGGGGGAGGGAGGGAGCGAGGGAGGGGGCGGCACCGGGCGCGGGGCACTCACGGTCGTCAGTGACGCGCAGGCGGACGGCCAGGCTCTCGTAGAGGTGGCAGTAGTGGTGGTGCAGGTTGCAGGTGTAGAGCCCCTGGTCCGTTTCCTGCGCCGCTGCGGCCCGGAGGAAACTGGCCATGAGCTCCACGGGCTGGGCTTGCGCCTCCCCCAGCCCCCGCCGCGGTTCATGGCCCCCTACCGCGGATGAGCAGCGAGAAGTTGCCGTCGTGGAAGGCGGAGGGCGACAGCAGGAGGCGGCCGAGGTCCCTGGGCTCGTACACACGCTGCTCCCCTGCCGAGTACATGTCCACCAGCCGGTGCGCGGGGCGCCCGCCCGGGCCACCACTGAGGTCCCAGTGGACCACGCGCTGGCGGTCATGCAGCCGGTCTTGCGTCCAGACCATGCGCGGGCTCTGGCAGCGCAGCACGGCCGGGGCCCCGGCCGGCCAGCTCACTGCGGACTCGGACACCACGGAGCTGCCTGCCGGCACCGACCCAGGTGGCCCTAGTGGGGAGGAAGGTCACTGGGGGCTGTGTGGGCCTGAGGGGACAGGCGCAGGGTGGGGCTGGCCAGACGGGGGGCGGGGCAGGGGCAAGCCACAGGCAGTGGAGGACAGTCACTAACCTGAGGACAGCAGCACAGTGGCACCTGGGGGAAGAGGGAGAGTGGGTCATGTGGGGGAGCTGCGGCCGGAGCCTCTGCGTCCCCAGCACCCTGGGCAGGGCTTCAGGCCCCGGTCCCTTCTGCAGTCCTCACCGAGGTGGGTGCTAATAACACCCAGAGAACGGGTGAGGACAAGCCAGACCAGCCAGGAGGACACGGACGCCTCCTCTAGTCCCACGTGGCTCAGGCACCTTTCCCATGGCCCCCCCTTGCCAGTCCCACAGCACCTGCCCTTCGGAGGGGAGCAGTGGGGCTGGTCACCAAAGGCCCAACGTCATTGGAGCAAGGCCACCAGAGCCTGACCCACAAGGTGTGAGGTGTGGCCAGCACTGCACCTGCTGAGGGCCAGGCCACCCGAGCCCTTGCCGGCCCGTCCACGGGAGCCACACCCCACCCCCAGTGCCCAGGCTGGAGCTCCGCTGGCCTTTCTGATCGGTGGGTTTCTGGAGCACGGAGACGCTGGATACGGGGAGTGACCCCTCCAGCTGCCTCCGCAGAGTCAAGTTTCTGGAGATGTGGCTGGTCGCCTGGGACGGAGGAATGTGCCCGGTCAGCAGGACAGCCTGGGGCAGGCTGGGGGCCTGGGAACCTCGGAGAAAGGCTGGAACAGACCCCGCCAGCCCCGCGGTCCCCAACCGGCTCCCCTCCCGACAGCTGGGAGCACAGGCCTGGGGGACTTCTCCCAGCAGCGGGGTGCAGGACAGACCCAGCCTGCTGCCTCAGCCTCCCTGCCCTCCCTGGCCTCCACCTCCGGCTATCATGTGGATGAACATTCTGGAGGGCTTCTAAACCCTCACACCCTCCCGGGTCCTGGGCGCCCTTGTCGTGAGCTGCTCCTTCTGAGGGCCCCCAGACTGGGGCCCCTTCCCAGCGGGGGATGGGGGCTGGGGGCGTCCCACCCCTCTGGGCTAGAGCTCAGGCAGGCGGATCTGCCTAGAACCCGAGCTTGCTCAGACCCGCTGGTGGCCGTGCCTCCTGACTCCCCCGCCCCGAACTCACTCTGCAGGAGCAGAAGTTTCCACAGCAAGACCTGGGACCCAGGCTCCATGGCGCCGTTGCCAGCAGGCCCCGCCGGCCTCGCTTTGTCTCTCTCCCTCCAGCTCCCACTCTCCAGAAAAACAGCCCGGCCCCCGCCCCCTCCTTCGCACCCGCCATGACATCACGGAGCCCTGGGCCGGTCGGCAGGCTGTAGACCGCCCCTCGGCTCCCGCCCAGCCCCTTGGCCTCCCCGATCCTAGTCTGGCCTGGGGGGAGGGGGCGCTGTGGCCACTAAGTCCCACACCGTGAGGGGAGTCCAGGCAGAGACCTCGCCCCTCTCTGGCTCCGGTCCTGGAGAGGGGCCCCGGCCCAGCCCTCGGAGGGCAGCAGGGCCTGCGGGTACGGCCCCGGATGCCTGTGACACGTGGGGGCCCTTCAGGGGTTGCTGCGAGGCTGGAGTTCTGGGGTGAGCATCCTTTCACCCCACTATGCAGGGAGGCACTGCCCCGAATCTCTGGGCAGCCTATCCAAAGTGCCCTCAGCCTGCTGCGGAGCTGGAGGCCAGGGGCCGGGAGAAGGTGTCCCAGGGCAGGGCCACGTCCTGCTGGCCCAGAGGACGCTGCCCTCCTCCTCTGGGGCTGCACTTGCTCATTGGTGAGGCAGGGGTCAGAAGAGGGCTGGCCCTGCGAGGGGCTGGGGGGCAGCAGGAATGGCCCCTGTCACAGGAGTCAGGCGACAAGGGCACTGAGGGGCCGGTGGGGGAGCAACCCCCACCCCTCCGAACTGCCCCCCAACATCTGCCAAGCATCCAGGGCAGAGTCTGGAGTCCCTGGAACCAAGCCTGGGTTGCACTGCCCAGAGGGGCACCCCCACCCCACCCGGAGAGGGGAGGAAGGAGGGAGTATAGGAGTGCCCCCCCCGCCCCCGCAGAAGGCACAAATTTGAAACTCTGGGAAAACCTACAAAGTCACATAAACAAATGCGAAATAACAGAGCACACGCTGTGTACCAAACCCGCTCCTTCTAGTTAAGCAAACCTCAAAAAATCCAAACGACCACAAAAGCCCACATTGCATTTTTCAGAGCTGTTTGGGTTGAACTACCGCCACGAGCCCCGGTCGCTGGTGGGCTAGGGTCGTACCCTTGACCCCTGCCCTGGTCCCCCATTTCTCAGATCGGCCAGCAGCCCCGCCTGTCCAGGCAGAGAAGGAGGCCAGTGCAGCTGCAGAGTGGATGGGGTGACAGCAGGGAACCCCCCCAACTTGACGGCAGCTCCTCCGCAGGATCCAGGCCCCGAGGGGCGGAGCCCATTTTCCAAAATGGAATCAGAACTTCCAGCTCCTCCCTGGGCCTTTCATTCTGGAAAAACAAGCCGCCTGGCAGGCCCTGAGGCCTGGCCTCTCTCCTGTTTTTCTAACTGGTTTGTGTTAGTGCGGTGGCCGCCCTCCCCGCCCTCCACCCCTCTGCACCCCCGCCCACCATCTGTCTCTCCATCTCTGTCCTCTGTCCCCGCCCCCGTGGGGGGAGGATGTCCACCCAGCCACGCCAAGCTGGAGTGAGGCAGGTTGGACCCTGTCAGCTCAGCCTGCACCAGGAGCCTGGGGGCACCCGCGTACACCCTGAACCACTCGTGGGTCCCTGGCCTCAGGGCCCCAGTGCTGAGGGTCCTCCTGCTCTGGACCTGACCTTCACCTCAGCCCCAGCGCACACAGGGGTCTGAGGGGAACGCCCCTGCAGGCGTGCTGACCGCCTCGCCTGGCTGGGCAGGCACAGACAGGCACGGTGTAGGGGACGACCGGCACAGCCCCCTCCTCCCTGCCCCACGGGTCCTTCTCCTTCTCTCTGCGGGAGGCAGTGAGGCTGAGAGGAGCAGTGACAGGCTGCCCCCCCACCCCCATCCTGAGCAGGAAATGGCCACAGCAGAGGCCCGGCAGGCAGCTGGGCTGCCGACCAGGCCACAGGCCCCTCCCACTGCCAGGGCCTGAGACCCCAGCTCCTCCTCAAGTGCCAATGGTCCACGGAGCCCCCGGCCTTGCCTGGCCCCTCCATCTGGGGAGAAAACCATCAGGACAGACGTCCCCCCACTCAGGGGTCTGGCCCAGCCCCCTCCCCGTCCTGGGCAGCGTGGCCGCATGAGGGTCAGCCAGCAGGCGCGGAGAAGAGGACTCTGGCTCCTGTTCCTGGGGACTCGGACATTCCAGGCGGCCTGGCTCACAGGGCAGAAAACCACAGGCACTCAGACGCAACCTGACACTCACACACGTGGTCCCCCCCGGCTGTCTGCTGAGCGCCTACTGTGTGCAGGGCTGGGGCAGTCAGAGTGCAGGGGGTGCCGGGCCCCGCCCCGCACACAGTAGGCGCTCTGCATGCAGAGCCGCCTGCTGACCTCAGGGTCGTCCTGCACACCAGGAGCGGTGCCATCACGGGGCTGCAGCGGGGGCTCCTTCCTTGAGGGACAGCAGTGGCCTCTCCGGGAGAGACACCCACAAGTGATGGCCAGGGAAGCCGCCTCCCAGGTGAGGGGGGGCCAGTGCAGGCCACGGGGAGGAGCCGGCCTGGGCCTGGCGGGGGATTCAGCCCGGAGGTGCAGGAAATGCCTGGCTGGTCAGTGCCGACTGGTCCATCGGGATTCACAGGGCATTCAAGGGAAACAGCCGTCTGAGTACCAGGCGCCGGACACAGATTTCAGACGCTCCCTGGGGCTCCAGCTGCTGTGTCCACACACTGTGGGCCTCCTTGAGTGTTGGCAGGAGTGGTGACCATGGTGGGACAGTGCTTCGGGTGTCACACCACGATTCAGGGTCCCCGTCAGAGTGGACCGGAGGCAGCTCCGCCTGCCTTGCAAGCCCTGCTGGGAAGGGGCCTCCAGAGGGGACCGCTCGGCCAGACCCCGAGGGCAGCCCTAACTACCCCCCAAGGAGGACAGGGACCACGCCCTGCAGAGACCACCCCGCTGAGAGGGTGGTCTGCTGACACAGACTCCACCCGGGGCGCCCCCACCCCCCAGCGGAGGGTGCCCCACGGCGATGGGGGGGTGCGGTGAGCTGCTCAGCATGCGGAGGCTGGGACACAGCCGCAGGAGACCAACATGGCTGTCTCCCGGGGACCGCCACCTATGGCACGAGCCGAAGCAGCTGGCGTCCCTGGTCAGCGCAGGCTGCTGGCCACAGGGTGGTGGGGGGCCCCCGAGGGGCCCGGTGCACCGCCAACATGCGGGCAGAGCGGGACACAGGCCATAAGCAGCACTGGGGCTGACCGGTCTTCCAGGCAGCGGTCACTAGCATGTGTGATCTTCCTGCTTCTGGAGTCCCGATGGTTCGCCACGAGGCAGGGGACCCCACGGCCCCAGAGATCTGGGCGTGGCCCACGAAGCAGAGTTCTCTGGTCTCCCCCCGGGGAGGCAGGCTATCCACACGGCCAGGGGCCCGCGGTGCACGCCGGCCTGAGAGTGCACGCCGGCGGGCGGAAAGGCTGGGACGCACACAAGCATCTTGCAGGGGCAGCCGGCCTTCTCCTGAGACCAGGTCGGGGACCGCGGCTGAAGGCAGGTGCTCCCCTGTGCTGGGCCCATCCCCTGTGGGGGCCGACACGCAGAGACCTGCTGATTGTCGGGTCCCAAGTAGGACTGTGACCGCAGGCCCAGGGTTGGTTGACCTCTGTCCTTTAACCTCTCCGATCACGCAGGAACCAGTCCCCGTTGCCCCGGTGCCCCGTTGGTTTCGAAATCTGGCTGCAGTTTCACCGACTGCACTGCGAGCTGCGCACAAACGTCCATCTGCACCCCAGGAGTCGGGGGGACGGCCCGTCCCTCTTCTGGGAGGCTGGGGCCCGGGGGGGCGGAGCCAGCCACCAGGCCAGCCTCCTGTGGCCACACGCGTCCTGTGTCCTCGTGGGTGGCTTCCGATGCCTGACCTGGAGCGTGGCCTCCATGTGTGACACCCAGCACAGCTGCAGCTGCACCTCGGTTCCCACCACTGTGCCCCCCGGAGAGGCACAGGCACCTGCTGGCCCTGCACCTGCCAGGACGGGAGGCCCCGCCTCCGCCGCAGCTGCCCACACGGCAGGCAGGCAGCTCCGTGAGCACCGCGCCTGCTCTGGAGCCGAGCTCGACAAGAGGCCGTCCCATGGCTGCGGGGTCACCAGTGCCCAGGACATGCAGTCGCCATCTTAGAGCTTTGGCCTGGCCACAGTCACTGTCCCACAGCCCTGTCCCTGTGGGAGCCAGCATGCCCACTGCACCTGGGGCTGCCCAGGGCTTGTCCAGCGCCACCGGACCAGGCCTCCCTGCTGTGCGGGGTGGGGCTGCTGAGCCGCCCGCAGAGCCCGGGGTGTCCCTCCTGCTGGAGGCCACACACCAGCCGAGCCGGCGGAGGCACGGGCATGACCTGTCTCCCAGCCGCCGTCGTCCTTTCCTTGGACAGGCCCAGGGAGCGTTTTGCATGGCTTCCTACAGAACTTCACCTTTTCTGAGATTCATCAGAGTCAGCGACATTAGCTGTTTCCTAATTTGCTTCTGAACTCGGAAGGGTCCAGTGGCACGAGACTGTCCACGGGAGCTTCCTGTGGCCCGTGAGGCCCCCTTGCTGGACCCAGGGTTAAAGGGCAGCTCTCCGAGGTGCGGTCTGTTTGCTCCGCCTCCTGTCGCGGGTCTGGGGTCAAGCGGAACACACACCAGGTCATCTGCTTCTGGTGTTTGGCATGGAGACCAGCAGCTGCACAGCGGCCCTTCGGCCCTCCTTCCCGGGGAGTCCACCCCCACCACGTCACGCTCAGCGTGGCGGGGAAGTGCAAGCACAGCGGCAACCTGCGTGGCCGGGCTGCACGGCAGGCCCGGGGGGCGGAGAATAGGCTCTTCTAAGGCCGACACACTTTCTCCGTGTTTGTGGACGGCCACTTGGAGTGAGCGTCTTGTGCGCAGGGAGGACAGCAAAACGCTAAGTGAGGGCTTCGGTCCTCACAGGGTGTCTGGTGCCTCTGGGGTCACTGGGTGGACAGGGCCGCCTGACACACGGACACTGTCCCCGTCCCTGGCAAACACAGTCCAAACTGCATCACTTGGTGCCTAAGCAGCCCAGGAAGGCCGGATGCCCCCTGATGTGACTTCCTCTGTCGGCTTCGTGTACGGGGCTTTCACACTGGGGACGGGCCTGAGGGCTGTCCCCATGCAGTAGGTGCCGTCACCTGGCACATCCCCCGTCCCCTGTGATGAGGGAGGAGGCCTCTGTGTGGTCTGGGGGGACCCGGGAGACAAGTGAGGGTCGGACACTCCCAGGAAAGGCCCTGCACGCCGTGGAGGCCCCGGCCGGGAGCTGGATCTGCCTTGGCCTTGCACTTCCCGCGCTGCAGGGCTGTGAGAGGGAAATGTCTGTGGCTGAAGCCAGGAAAAAAAAAGTCAGTTTTTCAAATTCTGAATCTGAGGCCCGGTTTTGGGAAAGGTGGCACCAGGAGCCGGCTGCCAGTGGCCAGGCTAGGGTCACTCGGGCGACGATGCGGAATGCCAGCATGCGACATCTGGAGCCGGAAACAGGGCCACCAGGCCAAGCACTCAGCCCGGTGGGGACCGGCCCAGCTGGAGGACCATGGTCCCCACCCTGCAGAGGAGAGCGGGGTCCCTCTGTCTAGAACACACTCTGGACGTGAAGCCGGCCTCCCTCCCTCTTCACCGCACACACACTTGCTTGGCTCGGCGGTGACTTTGTGCCTTTTGGGTGCCTGTGCTCCACCAGTTACACGGTCGTGTGATAAGCTTCAACAGCCTCAGTGGCCAGCAGTCGACTGTTGTCAGCACAACGTGGGGGTCTCTGCGGCCTGACCGTCCGCACTGGGGTTCCCTGGACAGGGGACCAGTGTCTTCATGCCGTGACCCGGGCTGCAGCAGCCAATTCTGACGCTACTGGGCACACACTCAGGAACCTAACACAGGAGCACACGGGTCTCAGATGGTGGGAGCCCCGCCCCTCAGTGTCCCGGCCCTGTCACCTGAGAGAGCGCAGAGGCCACAAGCGCACCCCACACCCAGGCCTTGGTTCCCGGGGAAGTGGCTTATTCAGGTCCTGCGGCGGGAGGGCGAGAGCGGACGAGGAGAGAATCTGCTGAGCCAACAGGGCAGGAAGTGCTAGCAAAACGGGGCGGGTCCAGGGAAGCTGCGGTGCCCCAGGGCCCCGCCCAGCGGATGAGACAGTGGGGACCCAGGAGGCCACACTGACGTGACAGGAAATAAACAGCTCCTCCTACAGGATTCCAAGTGCGGATGGAGCTGGAAGGGGGCTTCAGCGTCTCGGCCCCCCAAGCACGGCCGAGTGAGGGTCAGGAGCCCTGGTGGGACTGACGGGAGGGCTTGTTCACAGTGCCCCACGTAGGCAGCAGGGGCAGGGATGGCTCCCCTGGGGCAGCGGGGCCCTCTCTGCCCACGGGGCCCTGCCTTCCCCTCGCAGCCACCTCGCCCGGTGGCCTGGGCCGGGCTCTGTCCTCCCACGGTGGATTCGCCAGCCCTGCAGGCCTGAGCTCTGAGCTGGGCAGTGTCGCCCCACATTCCGTTGATCAGAACAGGTCACAGCTCAGGCCAGAGAGGGGTCAGAGCAAAATCCCAGGGTCCAGGGGCTCGTGGACGGCGAAGGGGGTGGTGACATCGTAGACAGTAGAGCACAGGGCGGAGGGAGGAGTGGGTCAATGAAACAGACGGTGCAGGAGAGATCGGCCTTTGTACACACTCGTGATTTCACCCTCACGCCGTTACACACACGTTAACGTTGGCAAGACCTTAACATGCTTTTTGGGGAAAAAAATAACTTACCAGACCAGGAAATTTAGGAAAACTTAGCTAAGCTTTGCATGAGTAAATCTAATTCTTCCAGAAGCTACTGTATTAGGCCACAGTACCTTTTACAATGTCCTGGAATGGCCTTGGCTGCTGTGGCTCAGTGAACTGAGCAACAGCCTGTAAACCAAAGGGTCGCCAGTTCGATTCCCAGTCAGAGCACATGCCTGAGTTGCAGGCCAGGCCTCCCATAGGGGGCGCGCAAGAGGCAGCCTCACATTGATGTTTCCCTTGCTCTCTCTCTAAAGATAAATAAAATCATTAAAAAAAAAAACCTCCTCAGAAACAAGTATAAAGGACACATGGACAAAAACTAGGGGGGTGGGAATGGGAGGGAGGTGGGGAGCACTGGGGGGGGGCTGGGAGTAAAAGACGGAAAACTGTAGTTGGACAATTTTTTCAAAAGTCCTAGAAAGGTGCATAGTTGTTTTAAATTAAAAGTATAAAACCAGTCTGACCTGCCCAAGGGTTCATCTTGATTAAAATTATCACTCGCCCTGGCGGGTGTGGCTCAGTGGACTGAGCGCTGGTCCGTAAACCAAAGGGTTTTTGGTTCGATTCCCAGTCAGGGCACAGGCCTGGTCCCCAGGAGGGGAGGGGGCACATGAGAGGCAACCGCACATCGATGTTTCTCTCCTTCTTTCTCCCCTCTTCCCCAATCTAAAAATACATAAAACATCTTTAAAAAGTTGTCAAAGCCACACCCCAGCCTGACTCAAACACTGAAGTCCCGTCACACGAGCTCAGGTCTCCTGTCTGAATTCACAGCTTCCCCCTCCCTCCTCCTTTCCCGCTCTCTGGCTGCAGGTTCAGCAACAAAATGTTTTCCGAAAGGGCGCACGCTCCTCAGGCGCTGAAGTCCAGTCCCCGTTCCTTTTCTGCACTCTCCCGGCCTCGGTGGCCCCTCCAACAACGGAGCAGCGGCTCCGCGCCCCAGGGAGACTGTGATCACGTCCGTGGTGTGTGGGTTCCAGGGAGACAGGGAGAGCTACACTAATGCACTTGGGAAACACTCCTGGCCGCATCCCCAAGGGTCCGACAGAACCCTCGTGGGGCATGGGCAGGCCTCTGGGAGCCGGGCCTGGCAGCGGGGATGTCACCCTCCAGCTCTCTCACAGAGACCAATGCCACCCCCAGGCGGGGACTTGACAGCTCGTCCTGGGACTGCAGCTGAGACTTTGCCAGGCTGAGATGGTCCACTCCACCCTAGGGCAGCTTCACCACAGTCACCCCGAGACCCTGGACCCAATCCAGTTGGGGAAAGCAACACCCAGGAGGGATGTTCCTGACCCCAGCCGGGGGCCTCCCAGGGCCAGCAAGCCCTTCCACTGTGCTGGCCTCTGCCCAGACCCCAGGGGCCCCCAGGGGGCCTGACTGTGCTCCCTGGCAGCCGGAGCTGAAGCAGGCCTGTGTCCTCAATGGCCCCAGGTCCCCTGAGGGCCCCCCTTGCACACCCAGGGCAGGGCCACCAGGCTCCCAGGGGCTCCATGAGCTCTTGGCATAGCGTGGCCTGTTCCGCCCCATGGATGGCAGTGTTCCGCCTCCTCTGCAGGGAGCTCAGAGCCGGGTCCTGCACTTGTTGCTGTGACAAAGAGCCCCATGGCCTGTGGGAAGTGGCCCTACACAGTTGGGGGAACGGCAGGAAGCTCAGAAAGGATGGACTGGTTTCCTTCCCTTTGACCAACGGAGCAGAGCAGGTGCAGAGGGCAGGACCAGCGTCCGCAGCAACTCAGGCCCGCCCCAGCCAGAGCAGAAGCCCAGGGCCTCCAGCCCTCTCAGGCAGTGCACTCCTCCTCTGCTCCCCACAGAGACTCAGGCCCCGGGCACTGGCAGCGGATTAGGAGCTGGTAGTAGGCCAGAGGCCCCCAGCCACCCCGAACAGGGTGGCTCAGAGGGTCAGTCAGGACCAGACCTTGGAGCCTACAGGACACCACCTCTTGTCACCTCAAGGGGTGCCGGGGCCTTTTCTGCCTCCCCTCCCCGTCTTCCCAGTGAGGCCCCTGACCGCCCCCCCCCCCCGTCACACCTCAGCCTAGGCACTCCCCACCCCCTACCGTTGTCACCCGGTGGCACTTCTGCCCCCTGGGTGACCACTGAGAGGCTGTCTCCCCCAGCAGAACAGATGTGCCTCCCCGGCAGTGCCTCTGCTCGCCGCTGTCTCCCCGGCAGACAGTCACAAACTGTAAGGCTGCTGTTCCCGTGGGCCAGGCCCCCGGATGAAGGCCAGCTTGGCCAAGGGACTACCAATCTTCTCCGGAGGGGCTCTGGTTGCCGGGACTGGCGCTAGCCTGGGCCCCAAGGCAGCTCACGGGGGGGAGGAGAAGGCGCAGTTCTTTGAGCGTTTATTACAACAGACAATGGCAGGAACACAGGCTGGAGACACTCGACACTCATTTTGCCTTTAGGTAGATCTTCGGGGTCTGCCAACCTGCAGGGGCTTCCTTCAGGCCCGCCTTTAGCCAGATGCGCCTTAGGTCTCTCTCGAACTTGATCTGCGGGCAGAGGGAGGGACCTGGACTGGTTGGTGGCACAGCCCTGCACTCAACCACCGGGCCTGCCTCGGCTCAGGACCCTCACGCACCTGCTTCCGTTTCAGGCGTCCTTCACGGACCTTCCGGCGCAGGAACCGGGTCCTCTTGACCAGCTTGCGGTACTTGTGATGGTTCATCTTCCGCCGGCGAATCTTCAGCACGTTTTTGCACTGCATACTGGCTGCATCCTGGCTGCCCTCACCCCCCTGCTCAGCCCCTTCCCCCACCCAACTAGATGGACACTCATAAAGCTGGTCGGGAGTTACAGTCCCCGGGGACCCAGAACCCGGTCTGGGCAGGAGGTAGTGGGCAGTCAGCCAGCTCTCCAGAGGGCTGATGGACATCTTTCTGGGGACCAGCATCTCCTCAAGCTCCAGGTGGACCCCCTTGCTGGGGAGAATGGCAGCCGGACTCGGGCCTGTTGGCTGCGTGCTGTAGCACGGCTTGCAGACACGGTTGCCCAGCAGTGCTGAGACAAGCCAGGGCCGGCTGAGGCCTACGGGAAACACCACGGCAGTTAGCACCCACAGGACCACACCAGACCCAACCATGGCCACCTGGACCTGATAGGGCTGGGGGCAGAAGCTCCATCCCAAAGTGGGATGTCCTGGCCTGAACCTGTGCTGATGTTCCAAAGCGGTGGGGTGTCAGACTCCCCACCCCCACCCCCACCGCCACCAGGTCTGCTTGGCTGCTGACAGGGCCATCGGTGCAGCCAGGCCCTGGCCTCCACTAGTGAGCCACACATTCCTAACCCCATGTGTATCGCGCCTATCTGCACCCGCGGGGCCACTCACCCGTCCGGGGAAGGACCCTGAGCAGCTGAGAAGTCAGGCTCGACAGGAACATGGTCGGTGGGTGGCAGCGGCCCCAGGTGCTCAGGGGAGCTAAAACACAGGTGCACCCTGAGAGCATGCTGAGCAGCCGGCGGCGAGAGCAGCAGACCCGGTGGGTGGGACTGGGCCCCGCCCCCTCCTGACCCTCTCGCACAGCAAGCACCCCACTTCAAACATCGCTCTCTCCTACGGCCAGATGCAGGCACGAACCCCGCTTCAGGAGCGAATCTGACCAAGTTGCCGACCCTCCCCGGGCCTCAGCTTCACGCCGAGGCACCTACCCTTAGGGCGAGGTCGGCACCCGAACGCCCAGAAGGCCGGGAGGGGCGCGCCACGGGCGGCCCACGTCCAGAGGTTTTCCCACCTGTCCCCGAAGCCCACAGCCGCCCACCCGCCCAACCTCTGCAGTCTCAGTCCAAGAGACTAAAACTGACCATTCCGCCGCCAGTGCGTTCACGCACTTCCGGTCCGTTCCTAAACCTGTCCCAGGAGCAGTCGCCCGACAATTCTAACGTCCAGCGCCCCCTGGTGCCCTTACGGAACCGACTTTACATGGGCTCCGGCCCCACCGAGAGCAGAAAGCCACGGTTTCCGGCCACAGGTGCCGCCTCGGCAGGGCCTTTATGGGAAAACTACAACTCCCGTAACACTTTAGGAATGGGATATGCGCCTGCGCTGACCGAACTTGCGTCAGACTGGGCCGACACACCCACCAGACGGAAGTAGCCTTTAGGGGACCGCGAGAGGAACGTCAACCTGGCGACGGAAGTGGAGTTCAAGGGATGACGGAAGCAACTGAGGCGCTGCGCCCGCTCGGCCTGCCCTCCCCCATCCCTCCCTCGGGGAGAAGCATTAACGGGGCAGACAGGCGATGGCGGCTGGCCTGGGCTCCGCGCATTGCGGAAGTGTATTTCTTTTCCTTTTTTTGTTTAAAGACTTTATTTTTAGTTAAGAAAACGGAAGGAGAAAGAGAAACGTAAGTGCGTGAGGAAAAAAAAAAAAAAAATTGGCTGCCTCACGGCCCCAACCAGAGACTGCAACCCAGGCACGTGCCCCGCACAGGAATCGAACTGGCGACCTTTCACTCAAAGGCCAGTGTTCAAATTCACGGAGCCACACCAGCTGGGGCTCCTTTCCTTTTTTGAAAGCAAACTCCCAAACTGTGCCTGTGGAGAGAAAAATCATTAGTGTTTTTGTCCAAAAACAGAAAGAGCATCTGTGGAGCATTGGGTTTGGCTGAGCCCAAGTCACGTCCCAGAGTAGGGGCTACCAGGGCCATGGGTCCCATCTCATTGGGGTTGCTGGGACTGAAGGATCCCCTGATGGACCTGCAGGGGCGACAGATGCCACGAGGTCTGTGGAATCCCGGTGGTGGCTCTGTCAGCACCTCCCAACAGGAAGTGGCCAGGCCTGGTCATCCCCAGGACCCAACCTAGCTGAACAGTGGAGGCGGACACTCCCAAGGAGGGCAGAAACCATGGGCTCTAGGCCTTGCTCTCCCACTGAGGTCACCAGGTGGCACGGTCCCCTCCCCTCCAGAGGGGCTGCTCAACTGAGGAGGTCTGTGCATGGGCCTGCCCTGTAACCACCAGCTGCAAGACCTCCCAGGCTTCTGTGATTTGTCCCAAGTGTGCCTGCCACCCAGCAGGTGACCCTGGCTTTCCCATTCCTTGGCTGTATGACTTCCATACGCCTGCCTCCAAGCCCACGGGCACCAGGAAGGCCGTGCCCAGCGCCCTCCCAGCCGCACGGGTGCCGTCTGCAGAGCCCTGTGGGCACAGACAGGTGCTGACAGCCCTCAGCCCTCAGGCCACCCTGCCTGCTCACCAACACCCCCTCCTGCCCACTCACCTGCCGCCACTCTGAGGGGCGCGACGCCAAGGGCCTCACTGCCTCATTCCGGGCCGTGCCAGCCCAACATGTGGCCACGGGTACGGCCCGGCGTCCCTCGGGGGCACACCGTTTCGCACTTTCCAAACCTTCCCTTCCTTGCCCACAGGAAGCAGCCTTTGTCAGAACGTGCAGACGGTCCAGGCCCCCGCCAGCCTGACGAGGGCTCCACAGAACACAACTCGGAGGGGACCAGCCGGCAGCGCGGACACAGCACTGGAACGGCTGCTGTGGGCTGCGCGCAAACAAGCAAGCGGGACACACTACAGAGTCTTTAACGTCCCCATGTCCTGAGTAGAGAGAGTCGTGTTTATTCACCCACACAAAATGCATATATAGGAAACCTCTATTTAGGGGCTGGCTGGTGGCCTGCACTCAGCATCGTAGATAAAAATATACGACTTTAAACACAGATCTAAATACCGTCACATTTTAAAAATCAGAATTCTCTACACAAGTTTTCAGCTGACAGAATCCCAGTTCTGAGTTTTCATATATAGCTTTAACTTGTATTAAACACGTTTATTTACGTGGATAGAGAATAAGGGGCTATTAAGGCCATTTTATCATTGTGAAACTGCAAAATATGTACACAAGTACAACCTAATATAGGCCAAGGTTCCAAAACTCATCTTCTCGGTTTAACGTGATTGAGAATCAGTATGGGAGTGAAGACAGCCCGTCGTTAGCACCGATCTGCGCCGCTGGGATCTGCGTCACCTTCTGCAGCTTGCTGCTGCAGGGGTGCCGCCAAGGCGGACACTGGCGGGCACCGACAGGCACCGCGCGGAGGCCGACCGGAGGGGCACCTTGCCAACCTCTCGATTCCATCTCCAAATTCATCACAAGGTCCGAGGTTGACAACCATTTACAAAAAGAGTCACGGCCAAAGTGGAAGGGCAGCCCGCCAGGCCCCCGCACCTCACCTCCGACGCCTGCTGTGGCCTGGGGGGTCCCGTTCGTAGCGACGACCTGCTCGCTCGTAAGACCGTGAGCGCTCCCGGCGCTGATCTCTGTAGTAATGACTTTTCTTCTTGTACTTTCCAGAATTGTCTGCCCGCTCCCGTGAGCGGCTCCGAGAGCGGGAGGAGCTTCGGCTCCGAGACTCATGGGGCTTCTGGGTGGGGTACTTGCAGCCCTTGGACTTGCGGTAGCTCCTCACCTTGGAGCCTTTGTAGGGAGCGCTGCGGTGTGCCTGTCTTGGTGGCGAGTCACTCCGGCTGCGCGAACGACTCTGGGACTTGGACCCTCCAGACGTTGAGCCGCTGTCGCTTTTCCTGTGGAGGACCAGGTAACCAAGTGCCCCAAATACCCGAGGAGCGGCCACCTTGCCTCTGCGCCCCAGGGAGACGCCCGCCCGCCCGCCAGCGTCAGGCCCCCCAGGCACACACCTCCTCTTCGGAGACGCGGATCTGGACGGGGACCGTGAGTAGCTCTGCTCGCGGCTGCCGCTCCGACTCCCACTGCCTCGCACCTTTGGCAAACTGAGAAGAGGGCAGCGGTTACAGGCCTGAGGTCACCAACCCCCACGGCCCCGGGACACCCAGCACTCACCCATTCACTGGGCTGTCGGCCTTGGCTTTCTTCACACCCTCCATTTTCCTCTTGGCGTTCTTTGCAGAGAGCGGGGAAGCCTTGTTCCCTTTACCTTCTTTGGGAGATTCCGCTAGAACCACATACAAGAAGTTCAAACCGGCCATCAGAAATGACGTTGCAAGTGCCAGCACCACTCCTATGGGATTCACCGTGACCTCCTGCTCCCAGCCTGGGGCGCAGAGCCTACACGCCCCACGGAGACGCAGGAGGCCACCTGCCTGGCTCAGCCTCCCGCGGGGCTGGTGGCAGGTGTCATGCTAACTCCAGGTCTACACAACTAGGCAGGTTGGGTAAGGAAAAGCGTTTTGGAAAACCCGTCCACTGCCTTGCTAATACGAATAAAAGAAAGATGAAAGCAAACTGCTTCGGGAGTCCCGTCCCGTTTCGAAGGTCACCAGGCGTCTGTTGGCGCCCCAGGGCCTGCGGTGCTCAGACGGGTCTGGAGGGAGGGGGTTGGCCCTGCAGGGAGGAGACTCACCAGGCTTGGGGGCAGGCGAGAACCCCGAGGTGCCGTCCAGGGCCTGGGTGCTGCCCGGCAGCAGGCCCCTGGCTTGTGCCTTTGCCTCTTCGATGGCGTGCTTTCTCTTCTCCACCTCACTTTCCAGGTAAGTCAGGTCAACCTAGAAAAGCCAAAACCCACCTGTTGAGAAACAGATGCTTCTGGACAACCACAAATGTCCGTTACATAAAAAAGAAAAGCCAGGACCACCTTTTTCCGAGTATACAGCTGCAGGATCTTTAAGCAGATTTCTTGAATTTGGTCCTCACTTGTTCCAAACAAAAGAAACCAATGGGGACGATTGGGCAAAGGAATCTGTAAACACAAACACCAACAACGTTACGCTTGTCCTCATGGACAACGAGGCTCTTAGTGCACTAAAAACAGGCCTGCTGGTCACCAAGGAGGCTTCTTATTGGCACCAACAAGCACAGTCTGAGGAACACTCCCCGAGGGTCCCGGAGGCTGGAGACAGGGCCAGCCCGTGGTGGCGCAGCACTGACCTCCAGCGTCCGGGCAGCAAGGTAGATGCAGGCACAGGCGATGCTCTCTGGCTGGAACCTCACGAACACGTCTGTGCGGAGGCTGTCGTTCATGTAATTCCTGAAACCAAATGCAGGAGGGATTGTAAAACTCCGGCAACCCAGGACACCCGTCTGCGTCATCTGGGGAGGTCACTGCTCCTCTAAGGAGGCTATTGCTGGGGCTGGAGCTACGCAGTCCTGTGACCCTCGAGTTAGGGACAAAGGTGCTAACTGCTTTTTCTGAACACAGGACAGGAAGAAGGGAAATTGTTGGCAAAAAAAAAAAATTTAAGCTGGCTGAATGTCAGACAATCCGTGTTGCTATGAAAGAGAACCAACTTTAACTTTACTTTTCCCTCTCAACTGTGGCCTGCTCTCATGCAAAGCACAATGCCTCAGGAAGAAGACAGCTACCGGAGGGGCGAGAAAGTGCTGGGTTAGAGAGATCTAAACGCTCAGAATCCGTAGTGCAGAGAAACATGCAAACTCAATGGGCTGCTGAGCACGATGCCACAAGGCTTTGCCGAGACCAGCCGTCCTCTCGAGTTCCTCTTCCTTCAAGGCGTTCCTTCCTTCAGGACGGCCCGGCCCTTCTTCTTCCGCAGGGAGTCCGCGGGAGGGGGGGACGCCCTGGGAGCCCGGGAACACTGTGCGGGAAGGGGGGGGCTCAGCGCCCAGAGAGCAGTCCTCTTCTCAGGCTTAGCAAAGACCCGCTTCCAAACTGTCCCATTGCAACAAAAAGTCTTAAAGTGAACATTCATAAAATCAAACAACAGCAACAAAATACTACAAGTTTCAGCACAATCAGTACATTTAAAAACTTTATCATACTTTAGGAAATAGAGGAATACAAAACATTTGCATTTTCCCAAAGTTAAAGAACTTTAAAATAGGCTACATTTAACATTCCCCTTCATATATATTTCTCTAAAATTTAACAGACCAAAATCAGACCTCATGTTAAACTTTATCAATACTGCACACACAGAGGATTAATTCCATGAGAAAACAGTTAAACAGGTCCTAGAGTCACTGCTCCCAACACACCCCAATACCAGTGCCAGGCTGCGCCCACAGGGGGGCCAAACCCTGCTGGGATTTGACTGATCCAGCCCCGCGCCCACCCTGGCCCGTTGCTCCTAAGCCCCGGGGGGAACAGACAGCGGTTACATTCTAGACACGCCGGCAGGCGGCCCCGGCTCTGGCAGCTCTTGCTCCAGGCACCAGGAGGGAACCCAGAACCAGGGGCTGAGGGACGGCACCAAGGCCACACAAACCAGAGCATTGCAAGTGAACAGTTCAACATTTTATAAACATTTCAGTTCTAATAATAAAGTTTCAGGATTCAAATAGTGATAATATTAATCCATTAACTTTTAAAGTACTAAAAACAAAACAAAGTTCTGAAAATATACATTTAAACTTATTGCTACATATGAAATGTTACAATGTAAACATGTCCCTGGAAGAGCTTAAAGATGCAAACCTTTCACCAGAGCGCCACACTCAGGCGCTGGAAAAACCTGGACTTGCAGAAGAAATGCTAAAACCCCCAACTGAAGTTTCCACCCCATCAGCGAGCTCTGACAGCTTTCCGGAATAGTTTTTTGTCGAAGAAAGGTGTTGCATCTTTATTGCACAGGTAGGTACAGCGGTTTAAAGGGACAAAAACTCCAATTCCAGACAGTTACCCCATCTAGTCAGTACGATTACCCAAGCACGACAGAGGTTAACGAGAAGCGCGACCGCCAGAACCACAGCAGCAGCGGGCCAGCACTAGACTACCGTGAGCGTACCACCATCTAGGGCCGGCCTTCGGCGGAGAGCCTGCACGCAGTGGCTGAGGACGGCCGCTGTCCCTGCACCGAAGCGCGTGGACAGTAGAGGAGAAGTCTTAGTCACTTACCCTCAGAGGCTACCCTTTGATTGAAAGAGTACAGAAAAGAAAAGTCAAAATAGGTTCTCTATCAGACACAGCACCAGACAATTCAGGCAGCAAAAACATGACCCTTACAGACTTTACTCAGTGGGGAAAACTCACAAAACACCCGGCACTGAACTGTTACTTCAGGCTGCATTTCTAGCAGACATTAAAATCAGCCCCAGAACCGGAGCCAAACTCAGCTGTCCGGGCCACCCCCACCCCACCGCAGGCTCCTAGAGAGGCAGCCGGAAGCAGTCTCAGGGGAGACACGGCACCAGCCCACCGGTGGGAGACACCCCCCCCAGGGAGCCCGCTGCCTGCTCTCCAGGGTCGGGGAGGGTGTGGGCCACCTTACCGTCACACCAGTGCCTGACATTGGGGAGGCGGGCTGGGCTTACACGGCGGGAACACCGGCACTCAGACAGCCCACAGCCTCGTCACGGAACTGACTACCCACTGCCCACGCGCCTTAAACCAACACTCCTGCACTGCCCTGGTGGGCCCCACGGAACAAGGAAGGCCAACTCACCATGAGGTCTGGACCAGGTGTTGGTTACGCTCACACTCTAACACCTGAAGGTACATAACGATTATCTGGAAGATATGGGTCAGGCAGTTATTACCAGGAATCATGGGGACCCAGAACTCAGATCTTGAAGGCGTCCATGCAGCAAATACAGCCTCATGCTAGATCCCAGGGGGGCTGCTGGTCAGAGGCCCGGTGTGCTGCTCAGCTGGAGGAGTTTCTGCTGATGCGCCTGCTTCCTGCCTTTGCAGCCGGGCAGGGGAAGCTCAGGGCCCAGGCTGCGCCCCCAGGCAAGGCCCTGCCTCCCACACACTGTCACCAGTGAGATCAGTTTGCCCTAAACAGCTCTATACCCGGTCACCGCCTCACACAAAACTCTGTGAAAATGCTTCCAGCAAATGAAGAAAAGCTTATAAATCTGCATTGAGTCATTTACTGAGGTTTTGCATTAATGCCAGGAAGTCAAGTAAGCAAGAGAAACGATATAAGGAAGCCCGGCAACAAGAGGGGGAAGAGCACAGATGCAAACAGCAGCCCTTCTCTGAAGGAGCCCGGGGCTCGCTTCGTCACTTTCCCAAGAAAAGGGTTCAGGATTCTTCCAACTCCCAGTAAGAGGAAATGAAGCCATTACTAGAGCAACTTTAGAGAATTGGCTGTTGAGAAAGAGATGTGTAAACTGACAGGTTCCACGTTTACAAGCTCACCGCTCTTTACAAACATTCAGACTTGTCAGCTGCCACTCTTAAGGCTCTTGAAAACCTACTACTAAGACTAATGGTTGAGGCAGAAGGCTAACAAATGAAGAGCGCATTCAGGTCCTGGGTGGACACTGGAAGCCGCGGCAGGGACAGAGTCAGTCCTCCTGCCAGCTCTCCACCTGGGTGAGGACTCAGGGGGCCCACGGCGCAGCAGGGCCGCATACCCACCTTGTGAGGGTGCTTCACGTGGACGCAGAAACCCAGCTCTTTGAGGACCCGTCTTTCCGCCTTTATGATCTGGTTCTTCAAGTTCACGTAATCTTGATCCAGCACCAGAGGCACAGGTTTCCTATGGAGACAAAGCCCGCGGTCGAATACCACCACCTGTTCCCACCCCAATGACCCGATGCCAGAGTCCGCCAGAAACACCGCGGAGCCAGTGTGGCATCTCCCCTTCTCCCCTTCAAGCAGAGTCTTCACCCGACCCCAGCGCTGACCTCCGTGTCCCCTCAGTGGCCTCCCCTTTCTCACAGACACGGCACTGCAGACACCACCGAGCACAAGCACTGAACGCGCTCTGGCTGCCGTGCAAGGGCGCGTGCGGAGCAGTGAGAACCAAACTTCCACGGCCGAGGCCTCGTCTCCCACAGCACGCCCACCCGTGTCAGAGGCGCCCAGTCTGGTACGAGGTCCGGAGAGCGGGCCCCAACCCAGGGCAACCGTTCCACCCGGGGCCACCCGGCCTGTCCACAGGTGGCCCTGTCACAACCACGGAAGGAGCAGCATCTATTGCACAGTGGCCGGGGAAGATACCCACCCCCTGCGAGGAGCAGGACAGCGCTACAACCAAGGCTCCAGCTGCCCCGAACGTCTCGGGGCCAAGGTGGAGCCCTGCTCCACAGCTTTCAGAGACCGGTGCCAGAAAACTGTGGCCGCAGAACCTGGCCGGCCGTGCTGTGGTCCCTACACGCTCAACAGCACCGTGTGGACCCCTGGGCACACGTTTAAAAACCTCACGTCCTGAATCTTGCCTCAGAAATGCCAACACCACTTAATAACACCGCCCCACAAAAAGAGATAGATGGTCGTGACAGCTGCAACGTAGACTCACTTCTTCTCTCTCAGCTGCCGAAGGCGGTGAAACACGTTCATGACGTCCCGGATCCGCCTCGGAGCCTCTTCTATTTTGGAGGCCAGGTGAACACAGGCCATCGACACGTGCTGAAAAGTAAGCATCGCGACATAGGGATCAGTTCCGGCGCCGACGGCTACCGGGGCAAAGGGCAGGTGCAGGGAGAGCGCCCACCCGGCCAACACTTCGGGGTCCCAACAAGCCCTCGGGGCAGCGCTCTGCCAAGAAAGGCAGGAACTCGACCCAATGAGCAATGGGGCAAGACAACCAGCCTGGTTTCCTCCAACACATCTCTGTGGGAAGGAAGCCCAGGCGGAACCTCTCACCTCCATGGAATGCTTCACAAAGGACTTGGTGTAAAAGAACCGCTGGAACAACACCTGCCCAGTAGCCATGGCCACCTAGAATAAACGAAGGCGGCCCTCGCATTAAACGCGCACAACTCGCGGGCTTCGCGAAGCTCTAACAGAGTTTGTTGTTTTTTTTTTTTAAAGACATGTCTTCCACGTCCACAAAGAGCCTTCGCGTCCACGGCCTGGTCTCCCTCACCACCTGCGGCGGGCCGGGTACCGCGAAGCACTGGGCTCGGGCCCGGGCGGGGACTGAGCCGGGCGGGCCCTACCACCAACAAAGGGCCCAGCCGCCTACCCCTGCGCCGGAGCGGCAGTTATCTCGTCCCGAGGCTCCCGGCTGCGCCCTCACCTGCGGCAGACGGAGCAAGATGCCGGCCGCCTGAATGAGCTCACACCCCACCACGCGGAGGTCCGTCTCCGTGTCGGGGTCAAGACCACTTGACATGGACGGCGTGAAGCGAAGCTTGTCGTCGGGCAGGAGGCAGTTCTCCAAGGTTATGAGCACCCCGGAGTACAGCCGGTCCCCAATCAGCACCCCTTGCGACCCCGGGGCTGTGTTCCCCGAGCCTGCGGTCCCGGCGGCTGCTGCGGGGGCCGCTGGCCCCGGGGCTCCGGCCACGGCCGTAGCAGCCGCCGCCACCGCCGCCGCCATTTTGTGCCGCTGACTCCTCTTCGGGCTCCTTCCCGGCAGGGCGGCTCCTCGCGACGTTCTACTGCTACGATCGCCCCGCCCTGCCGCAGTCAATGGTTCGACCGACGAACGGCCTGGCAGCACCTTGCTACTATTGGCTAAGAGGCCTGCCCGTCAGTGTCGCGGACGACGCCGGAACCAAGCGCGGGCGGGGTTTTTTGCTCCTCACCCAGGGGGCTCCGCGGCACCCCGGAGAGGCCACTGTCTAGGCCTCGACCCGGAAGCACTAGGTTCAGGTCCGTTCCCCCCCCCCGCCCCCACCACCCGGGGCCACTCCGGTGTGGCTGCACCTTCACAGAGTCAGGATCTTGCGAGTTCCGCACTGCAGCCCGAAGGCTTCTTGGAGTCCGGCTTTTCCCGAAGGTGCCTGTGGGTAGCCTGCAGGCACGTGAGTAAGGGTCCGGACCTCAGACTCTGAGACTAGGCCGGAAGACCCCCTCTACCAGGGCGCTCTCAGGGTTCGGCGGCTGTCTTTCCACTGCTGGATTGTGTTCCAGGGGTCTGGTGGGAGCCCGATGGTGCGGGGCTTGGGTGAAAGGGTAGGGCCTCGGAGGGCCCCTGGGAGGTGTTTGAGCAGGGCACATTTATGAAAGGTTAATCCATACAGGGCATGTGGGAGGAGTTCTCACACCCGTGTCACCCGGGGAGCCCTACAGGGTCGGCCCTGGGGTCCCGACCGACCACCTCGGGGACGAATGCCCCCACCCTTAACGTCCTCTTCGCTCTCTCCAGTACTTTCTCCATTTTTCTCCGGATGGAAACCCCCGCACGGTTGGCCTTGGCATCACCTTCCGGATCGCGGTCTGCCTTTACCCTGAATGAATGCCTTTTGCTGCGTGGACTTTTTACCTACATCCGGCATGTTTGTGGCTCATCCCAGAGAAGACCCCCAGGGCTCCGGGGCTGGTGAGCAAACAGGTGTGGCGCCCACGGAGCCATCCCAGTTTCCTGTTTTTCTTCACGGCTCGGGAGCTAAAGGGTGTTTTTCTCCTGGACCTGACCTTCTGCGGGTTTGTTGTGAAGTTTTCTGGGCTTTATTCAGGATGCATTTAGAGGGCTCTTTACCCCCGACGTTTGCTTCTATCAACATGTGGCAGCTGGTGTGGTCATTTGTCTCCAGTTTTTAGTGAATCCAGGTTTGGGGATACAAATATTAATACCAGATCACTAAAGTTCTTGTCTTCAAAATAGCGTTCAAAAGAAACACTAAAAGTCATTTTTTTTAGTATATTCTTTTTTAGTTAATTTTATTTAGTTATTTTTCAAGTACAGTTTGTCTATTTCTCCCATCCCAGCCTCCCCCGCCCCTTGCTCCCCAACTCCCTCCCATTTCCACCCCCCTTAGTTCTCGTCCCTGTGTCCTTCCTATTTGTTCCTCCAAATCCCTCCCCCTTTTCCCCCTTAACTTCCCTTCCCTCTCCCCTCTGGTCACTGTCCCCTTGTTCTCTATTTCAGTGTCTTTGTTTTTTTTTTTTTCTAAAAATCATTTTTAAAAAAGAGACAAAACAGCTCTGGCTGGTGTGGCTCAGTGGATTAAGCGCTGGCCTGTGAACCAGAGTCGCCGGTTGGATTCCCACTCAGGGCACACGCCTGCACTGTGGGCCTGGTCCCCAGTAGGGGATGCAGGAAAGACAGCCACACGTTATGTTTCTCTCATTCCCCCCTGTGTAAAAATAAGTAAGTAAAACTTTAAAAAGGATAAAACATTTGAGTCCACAGGGAAGAGGGGTAGCTGGAAACATTTAATTCGATGCTTCTATAAAGTTCATGGCAGCATAAGGAAAGGCATGGGTTCCTGCAGGAATCATGGGTAGGGGCCAGGCCACACCCAGGAGCTGTGGTAAGGGGCTTGGACTTCACCCTATACACAGCAGGAGCCCATGAGGTAGTTATCCATTTGTGAACCCCTCTGGACTCTGCGGACCTTACACACCTGCATGTGTTACACCAGGTGCTCTCAGGTCTACTGCCTGCCTGCCTCAGAGGGTGTTCAAGTCACCTGTGTGCTGCTGTCTAGCAGAAGAGCAGACATGGTATTAGTCATCTGCTGCAAGTTACGCAAATGTTCACCAGGACTAATGGCGGAGAGGGAGGGATTTCTTGTCTGTAAACCCCAGCAAGTGGTTTATTATTGGCTCTGCCTGGGTTGCTGCTTGTCTATCCCCTGAGCAGCACCTGGCCAGAGGCAAGGGAAAGTGGGGGGCTCTAGCCTGTCAGGGCCAGGCTGTGGAGCTGGCAGAGGAGCCACGGATATCTGCCACACCTCCATCATCCTTTACTGAGATGAAGCTGCTCCAGGGCAGCCTGTGGTGCTACCAACGCACCCTGAAGGGCTGGTTCCTCAACCCTGTTGCCCAAGCAGTAGGCCCTCACTAAGGAGCACGTGCACGGACCTGTGTGCAGAGCCAGACACTGCACCAGTGCAACAGAAAAGTGAGCGAGACTCCTCCCCAGGCCTCCAAGTGTTTCCGGTCTAGTGGCCATCATTGCACACGGGACAAAGGCCAAGAGTGGGTCTCTTTGGGGGCAGTGCAGTGACTGGAACCAGAAGAGATGTTAGTCCATGGTGAGGATGCAGAAAAATGGAAAAGATTCAGGAGATCACCAGGCAGTAGGGACTTAGGGCCTTGCTGGATCTGCATGGGGTTGGAGGTGGGTGTCCATCCAAGGAAGGTTCCCAGAAGGACCTCCAGGGGACAGATGGAGCTGTCACCACAGAACCCAGCATGGGAGTGATGAGTTGGGGAAAGATGTGCATGGCCAGCAGTGAAGGCAATAGTGAGCCTCCAGAGCTTCCCTGGGCGGGGGGAGTAAGAAGGAAGAAAGTGTGTGGTCCTCAGGCTGACAGTATCTATTGGATTTGGCTGCAGGGGACAGCTTTGGTGAGAGCCATTGGGAATAACTGCAGACCCAGTGACAAGAGGCTGAAGTGGAGACCAGAGTGGGCTGGGAGGAAGGACAGCTCCACAGGTGGAAAGGGTTCACAGGAAAGGAGAGGCTGAGCGTGGAACCAGCTCCCAGAGGGCAGAGGGGGAGGTGCTGACCCTGAGCGGGCCAGGGCACAGCCTCCGTGTTCTCTGGGTGGCAGTGGTCAGAGCAGGGTAGAGTGAGGAAGTTCAGGGCCAGCACAGCTGCTGTGAGGTCAGCACAAGGAACTTACTCCTGGGCTGGACTTTGAGCTCGGTTGAGTACTTGGTGATCTGATGGTCACCAGCTTGTCACTGCCTCCTGGGCTGAGGAGGGAGGGGAGAGCAGGGAAACAGGCCTGTGTGCAGAACGACTGAAGAGCTGAGCCATGGGGCTCTGCTGGAAAGGCTAGGAGGAGGGTGGAGCACAGATCTGTGGGTGCTAGGCAGACACCCACAGCTCTGAGGGGAGCCAGGGTCAGAGCTGAGCACCCTGGTGCAAACAGCCCCTCGCAGGAGGGGGTCTGAGGTCCCAAGAGGAAGGCACGGGTGCAGGTGACCCCCCAGCAGCCTCCTCCACATTTGCCCGATGCCAGAGAACACAGCTCGAGACACCGATCACCACGCAGGCTTTATTCACAGCACAGCCTGGTAACACGCAGTGCTGCTGGCCCGTGGCGAGGAGGGCAGACAGTGCTTCTCCCTCATACCTGTTACTGAAGTAGAAATTAAAACCATGCAAATCAAACTCCGCACACTCCCGGCAAATGATTCTTGGCCCCTTTCTGAGTTACGATCATTGGGGGAAAAGCCTTTTCCTAAGACACTTGGCCAGAGAGGGCAGGGGTCCCCTCAACGGTACTGTGCCACTCTGGAAAATATACCTTCGGGCTCCTTCCCGTCCCCCAAGGCAGCAGCAAATCCTTCCTGTCCCCTCCTTTTGGCCAAAGCAGCCAAGGATTTAAAAGTCTTCGGTTCGTAGATGGCTAGGTCGGCCAACACCTTCCTGTTGAGCTCCACCTGGCACTGAGGAGAGAGGTAGAGCCCGAGTCAGGATCAGAACCACAGCAGAGGAGAACGCCACCGAGCCCCCAGTCCCACTGGGCGTGTGTGCACGGGAGCTGGGCTCCAGGGCCAGCCCTGCCCTTGCAGGACACAGCACCTGGGGAGGAGCCGTTAATCTCGCACATGGAGGGAACTGGAGGATGAATATGGAGGAGGAGGTGACTCCAGAGGAGACTGGCATCCAGTCCTGGTGCCAGGAAGCCAAGGACCCTGTTTAGGGTCACAGTCACCACTCAGGCAGAACTACGACTGAGGGCCTGGGGTGACCCTTGAAGTCAGTTCAGAAGAAGAAACAACAATTTCCATTTACAAACAATGAAACAAGCCACAAGCAGAGGAGGCAGGGACAAAAGCCAGGCACTCCCAATTCCCTGCAAAAGCCAATCCAAGTTGTCTGATGGGCAAAACTGGAGGTGACTTCAGAAAACTGAGGTGCAGAGGTGGGAGGGTCTCCACTCGGCACACACACGGGAAGGGAGCCTGCCCCACTGCCTAGGACCTGTGTGCCCTGGCCAAAGCCCTTCTCCTCTGTAGGCCTCAGGTCCCCAGCAGGACACCAAGGGTCTCTGTCAAGTGCCAAAGCCAGGAACTGGGATGAGGTAGAAACACAACCTGCCCCCTGGAACAGCATAATCACCAGACAAAACAATCACTAGGGCTTCGCAACACTTGTTTAATGCCTTCGAGACTCCCCTCCTTTTTAATTGTGCGAGTTTCCACTTTACCTGCTGCCGTATCAGAACTCATTCACAGTCAAAACTTTGAAATGAAAGTTAAAGCCATGTTTTTCTACCTTTTCCCCTTGATGGGGAAACACTAAGGCTCGTGTCTCGTTAGCCCGTGCCCGTTTCCAATTCTTCCACCAGGAGGGCAAGGGCACAGCTAGTACGGGGAGTCCTGGAACCTGCCAGAACCGACCCAGAGAATGGAAGCAGTGCTCAGGTGCTAACGCTGCGCCGCCGTTGCAAGTGGGGCCACACCCACTGGCAGCCACTCAGTATGTAGACAGGACCACACCCTCAACCTTACCTTAATCAAATTGGCAACAAACACTGGGTACTTTAGGCCATGTTCCTGGGAGGCAGCTGTGATCCGATTAATCCAGAGCTGAAACAAAACATTTAGATGCTTAAAATCTAATGAGACGTTATACCCACGCAGCCCAACACAGGTTCTGACTTAACTACAGGGTTTTGTAAAAGCAAAGAGAAGCCCTGGGCTGGTGTGGCTCAGTGGACTGAGACCTTGCAAACTAAATGTCATCAGTTCGATTCCCAGTTGGGGCAGGTGCCCAGGTTGCAGGCCAGTTCCCAGCAGGGGACACGCGAGAGGCAACCATACGTTGACATTTCTCTCACTCTCTCCTTCCTTTCCCCTCTAAAAGTAAATGAATAAAAGCCTTAAAGAAATTAAAAAAAAAAAACCCACACAAAACAAAACAAGTAAATAGCCCTGGCTGGTGTAGCTCAGTGGATTGAGTGCAGGCTTGTGAACCAAAGGATCGCGGTTCAATTCCCAGTCAGGGCACATGCCTGGGTTGCAGGCCAGTTCCCAGCAGGGGACCCATGAGAGGCAACCATACATTGATGTTTCTCTCCTCTCCTTCCCTTTCCCTCTAAAGATAAATAAATAAAATCTTTTTTAAAAAAGTAAATAGAAAAATCAGTGTTTTCAGGCAAACAGGCTGATGATGCAAACAGCAGAGAGCAATGGTTGGTGCTCCTCATCCCAACACCAGCTTCTCTCTCTAAGGCGGGCACTGGGGTGCTGCTCATGCATAACCCACCTGCGGCTGCAGAGAGCAGAGAGGAACTAGACTGCGCTCAGAGCGTGGAGAGAATCCGCCTAGGGAATGCCCGCACCCACTGAGGCGAGCGCCACCACGTGGGATGAAGCAATAGAGGGAGAACAGCTGCAGGGAGCAGGGCCTGGCTGAGGAGGGGCAAGCAGCACGGTGTGCCAGGGCAGGGGGTGGGCAGAGAAAGATCTGGAAGGATGAGCCAGTGCTGCAGATGCTTCTGAGTGGATCTCTGCTACTGAACAATGGGGCCTCTCTTCAGCCATTCTGTACTCAATGTTAAGACTTGAGCCCATTCTGTTCCCCAGCTCCGGTCGTTCTCATGTTTGATCACACATCGGAAACACCCACGGGTTTGTAAAAACACTGCTGGGCCCCACCTCACCTCCAGCACTTCTGCTTCAGTGGGTGCAGGCAGGGTCTGGAAATCTGCATCTCTAACAACTTCCCACCCTAGGATCCTCTGCTCAGGCCCCCATGCCCTGCTCACACCTTTGCACAGCACACTGGGACAAAGCACAGTGGGGTTGAAGAGCCAGGGACTGCATGGCCTCTACCCTCAGAGGCACAAACAACAGCACAAGAACGACCCACGTGCACAGGGACAGTTCACAACGCTGGGACCCTAATCCGTGGCTACCTACACAAATTTGACTTAAAGGGTCAGAATTACCCCCCCCACACACACACACACTGACTCGACCAGTATCTATAGAGTGTAGCTGATCAAGACCCAGGAAGACCCAGGGTCACAGCATGCAACAACAGAAAGATCCCTCATGGAATCGACGTTCTGGTGGAGGTGGAGGACGAGCCACAACCAACCAGCCACGTAAAACAAGGAGCAGTGGATACTGAGGTCACGAAAGCCCGACACGTGCCGAGTGGGGCAGGTGATGTTCCGCAGAAACCCCCAAGCAAGTTGCGGGGGAGGGAGCAGGGCCGCCGACGAGGTCCAAGTAACCAGTTGGGTGGGCTCGCCTTTCTCACGAGTGGGAAGGGCGCGCGAGCAGCAGACACAGCGGGGTAGTTGAGCGGAGCGGGGGCGCTGACGAGGGGTCTCCTGGTGGCGATGAAGACGCGGGTCCCCGGCCACCCCGTTGCTGCGGGGGTTTGGGGCATGGGGTATGTTTCTCCTGTTTGGAGAACAGGAGAAACAAAGGCCCTGAGCATGGTGCTGAGGTTGGGCAGCGGGAGGACGGCGAAACCGACCATCCCCTGAGATGCAGGGTTTGGCTTCAAATACGTCGGCAGCCCCGGGGGGAGTGGAGGGCCGCCGGCCAGCCCCTCAGCCCGCGGTGGCACGGCTCCCGGGCCGTGGGACGGCATGACGCAGGGGCCCTCGGGATGAGGCTCACCGTCCTCAAGTTCCTTCTCTTCAGTCTCCGAGCTTTCGTGCACTTCACAAACGCTCTTATCACAGCCCGGACGGCCAGCCGGTAGCAGCGGTTCTTCCTTCCCCGGAAATGCTGGGTCAAGAAACGGGAAAGGAGGGCTGTCGGCGGGGCCCGGGGGCGCTCGGGGCGCGCCGGAGGGCGCGGGGCATGCGGGGACAACTCACCCGCGCATGCTTCAGCACCTCCTGGACCCGCCAATAGCGGTCGGTGACGCGGCTCCGCAGCCAGAGCTGCCCGGTGAGGAAGACCATGGCGCCCCTGACTGGGGTATCTGCTCAAAGACGCCGCGCCGCACCAGCGCTTCCGGGTCAGCGGCCCGCCAGGGACTTCCGGGGCATCGCGCGTTTGCCCCCGCCCAGCTGCCCCCCCCCCTTTGCGCATGCTCGTGCTCGGCGGAACCCGGATGGGGCGTGGAGTGGAAGGCGCCCGGCCGCAGTGGTGTGCAAGTAAATGCTAGAGCGTCCGCAGAACGTGGGGCACCGAGTGCCTTGCGGAGATTAAAGGACCGATGCGGGCCGCCGCTGAGTGAGCCTGGACTGCGTCCCGCAGGATGCAGAGGCCACGTATTGTGCGTTTGCGTCCCACGAAGTGCCCAGACTAGGCGGAATCACCGACACCAAGCCGACGGAGACGGCGGGGAGAGGGGCTGCCAGGGGGCAGGGGTTTTTTGGGGTGGTGACATCTGCAGCAGGATAGTGGTGGAGATTGCATAACGCTGTGGAAGCCCTAAATGCCACCGAATGGGACCCTTTAAAATGCTTAAGCCAGTAAATTTTACCATATGTCTATTTTACTACAATAAAATATGGTGAGGGGGGCACAAAGTAAGTGCAATTTCTTGGTAACGTTTTGTATGGATACGATTTTAAATTCTATGCAACTCTGGTCGAAGGAACTTTCCAATATGCTTTCCCTGAATGTATCAACGGTTTACATTTTGCTTCGTTTGAAATCATTCTCTAGAAATGTTTTAAAAGGTTGTTTGATTGATTGATTGATTGACAGAGGGGAAGAGAGAAGGGATTGCCTATGGTACACCCCCAACTGGGGACCTGGCCTGCAACCTAGCCATGTGGTTCACAGGCCCTTGCTCAGTCCACTGAGCCACACCAGCTGGGCCTGTAAATGTTCGTAAACACATCAATGGGGTTTTTCTGGACCATTTGAAAGGAAGTTGGAGATGCCTGAATACTACACTGTGTGTTTCCTAAGAACAAGGATGTTCTCTTTCTTTTTTTAAGATTTTATTTATTTTTAGAGGGGGAAAGGAGAGAGAAAGAGCGGGAGAGAAATGATGTGCTTGGTTGCCTCCCGAGCTCCCCCAACTGGAGACCTGGCTGGAAACCCAGGCACATGCCCTGACTGGGAATTGAACCAGCGACCTCTGGGTTCAGAGGCTGGTACTCAATCCACTGAGCCGCACACAGCAGCCAGGATAACAACTGTCTGTTTCAGCTGTACTGGGGCTTTCATCTTGGGGATTGGCTAAGCGACAACAGGGAACTACAAGCCATGGAAAACAGATTTTCTTACATTTCCCAAGAGGAGGGCACACACCAGGCCCTGCTGGGCCGCAGAGGGACAAGTGTCAGCGAGGAGGCAGGAGTGGTGAAAAGCTCTAGTTAGTACAGTTCCTGGAGCTCCCTGGGGCCGGGCAGGGCAGGGGAACCGTTTGGGACTGGCTGGTTGGATAATGCCGGAGGCCTCCCTGCAGCGGCCGGCTGTCTGGCCTGTGGCACCTGGCCCTGGGAATTTAGGGCAGGCACTATCAGCAGGGCGTGTGAGCCCTGGGTCACAGGGGAGCTGTAGACAACTGTGGCCCCAGGGTTCAGCTCTGTAGTAAATGGGTACAAGTAAACAAATATCAAATCTAAGAAAACACAGAACTCCCGCACGTACAGAGAAAGCAGCTGAAGGCGACCCCCCCACCTCCGTGGTGGACAGACAAAGCGAGACCATCAGGTCTTGGTCAAATACAAGGCCAGGACAGTTTCTCTGCCGAAGATTGTGGGGAAGGCCAGAGCTGCACAGGTGATGCACTGCCGTCCCAAGCCAGGCCATGGACCCATTCCTGGGGCTCGAGCCACTGTCCTCCCCTTTTCCTGCAGGAACCTCTCAGCTGGGCCATTCTCTGAGCCACACCGTCCGTGGCCTCAGCCTAGAAGGGCAGAACCTGGTACAGGACCAGGGCTGTGGGACTGGGGAGCTTTCCGTCCAGTGCTGACCAGGCAGGCTCAGGCCCATGGGGCTGTATGGCCCTAGCAGTCATTCTGCTCCCTGCCAAGGGTGGGCCAGGCCTGGGCCAGGTCCCCCTTGGACACCAGGTCTTGGGCCACCTCACCCCACAGTGTGCTTACGGTGGGGTTGGCACCCCGGCTCAGCAACAGCTCTGCGGTGGGGCCATGACCACGCTCCACAGCGAGGTGCAGGGGTGTCCTGTGGAGCCAGCCAGTAGCGTTGACCTGTGCACCGCTGTCCAGGAGGTGGCTGGCGACTTCTGCGTGGCCTCCCCGAGCAGCATGGTGCAGAGGGGTGAGGCCCAAGGAATCTTGAGCATCCACCTCCGCTCCCCGGGCTGCCAGCAGCTGGACGGCAGGCAGGTGCCCCCTGGCGGCCGCCCTGTGGAGTGCAGCGCGTCCGTGCCTGTCTCGGAGGCGCGGGTCCGCCCCGTGGTCAAGCAGCACCTCCACGTCCTGGAAAAGGAGCGGAGGGCGAGGCAGGGGCCAGCCCGGGCCCAGAAGGGGGGGCAGGCTGGGGCCGCCGTGCCACTGGCCTGACCCAGACCTCACCTGGTGCGTGTCACCTAACCGCCTCTCTCAACACTGCGTCCCCATTTGGTAAATGAGCCCACAGCGCCTTGGGCGGGGCTCTGCTTAGCAGGGGTGTCAAACTCAATCTCACCGGGGGCCACAACAGCCTTGCGGTTGCTTTCAAAGGGCCGAAATGATTTTAGGACATTATAAATGTAACTGCTCCTTAACTGCTAAGGAGTTGAAATTACACTCGGCCCTTTGAAGGCAACCGCGAGGCTGTTGTGGCCCCCGGTGAGAATGAGTTCGACACCCCTTGCTTACAGACTACCACTTGCCCCGCCATCGTTCTTAGGCCGAACCCAAGACTCGCAGCCCCCTGCCGGCCGGTCCGCTGTCTGGGGGCTGGCTGGACCCAAGAGCACGCCTGGGGCTCAGTAGACGTTCATTGCAGCGGGTCACCAAAGTAAACCCGGGTGCCCTGCCAGGCCCGCTCCCCAGGCTTCCCTGAGACGTCACACACCTGGAGCACAGTCAAGGCTGCTGCCCGCGCAGCTCCGCCTCCGCCTGCCCGCAGGGGCCGCTCTGCCCGTGCCATCCCCACACCTGCGGTGGACAGCGCAGCTCCTGGGGCGAAGGACACTCCCCTGCAACCTCCCCGTCACGGTGGGGCGGGGGCTGTTACGTGGGGACGTACCTGCTGGTGCCCCAAATCGGCGGCGACGCTGAGCGCGGTGGCTCCCGAGCCATCCCGGGCGTCCACCCGCGCGCCGCAGTCCAGGAGCAGGCGCAGCGCCGCCGTGTGCCCCGCCGCGGCTGCCACCAGCAGGGCGCCATCCAGGCCGGCGCCGCTCCCTGCCGCCAGCAGCTCGAGTACCGGCAGCCAGCCACCCGCGGCAGCCCAGTGCGCCGCCGTCCAGCCGCGTGCGTCCGCCGCCTCGGGACCGGGGCCTGGCGCAGCCAACAGGAGCCCAGCCAGCAGCGTGCGCCCCAGCGCAGCCGCACAGTGCAGTGGCATGAGGCCCGCCCCGGAGCGCGCCGCCGTCGGGGCTCCGCGACGCAGCAGCAGCTCGGCCACGTGAGAGTGTCCATGCCAGGAGGCCTCGTGCAGCGGCGTGCGCCCCGCGTGGTCCGTGGCTCCCACCGGCGCCCCGCGCTGCAGCAAGAGCCGCACTAAGGGCACGTGGCCGCGCAGCACGGCAAGATGGAGAGGGGTCCTTCCGGAGCTGTCCCTGCAGAGCGGGACGGGAAGGTGAGGGAGGAGACCTCTGCCCCCCACTCCGGGTGAAGAGACCCTGTCCTGCGGGGGGCTCACCTCTCCTCCACACTGGCCCCCTGCCGGAGCAGCTGTGTTGTGAGGCCTGTGTGACCACTCCACACGGCCTGCAGCAGACACCCCCAGGCCTGTGGGGCACCTGGCCCCTCTGCCCCGGCTCCCGGGGCCTCCTCAGAGCTCAGCTCAATCCACTTGAGTTCCTGCTCTGCTCCCGCCTCAGTCAGGTCCTGCTTCCCAGGCTCTGAACTCCCAGAATTCACCTGAGAAGAACAAGAATCCTGCTTGGATGTTGGAGGCCCCCACCAGCCCCAGCTCCCTGTCCCCAGAACAACAGAGAGCCCCCCACCCCCACCCCCGTCTTTCTCCCAGGGAACCAGGCCACCAGCAGGTTCAGTTGCCTGCACTGGGAGGCTGCCCAGGGGCTCTGTCCTCTGGCAGGGGGGCCTCTCCATGCTCATCCTGGTCCAGCCACAGCCTGGTGGCCCTCGCTGGGAACTGTTTCTGAACAGGTGGAAGACGGTGGAGGTGTGTCTGCCCCAGAGGGTGGGAAAGCTAGAGCTGTGTGTGTGGTGGGGAATGTGGAGGAGCAGGGCCACCTCCCGCCGCCCCCTGGGGCGGGCCAAGTGCTGCTGCTCCGCCCTGTTTACCCAGCACTTTAAGGAGAGGCCCTGCCTGGCAGCCGCCCCCCCACCCCAGCTCCTGCCCTCCTCTGCCAACTGCCAGGGCCCCGAGAGACAAAGGCCAGGCAAGCAGGTACATGCCCAAGGGCTGCAGGTCCCCGGAGGAGTACAGCCTTTGAAGGGCCAGGACTTGCCCCCGCCCTCCGCTCAGGTACCCATGTGCCTTCCGTGGGTCCCTCCCTCAGGTCCTGCCCCTCTTCACCACTCCTGTCCCTGCTAAGGCCACTGCCAGGCAGAGCCTGGCCTCTACCCTGATTCCAGGCTGGGGAGGTGGACAGCGTGAGGTGGGACCCTTTCTTCCCAAGCCAGGCAACCTGGCTAAAAGGGCCCGGGGGAGGAAGCCCCTTGAGACAGATGCTGAGGCAAGTCAGTCAGGCCATGACAGGCAGACTGCTGGGCAGCAGAGGGAGGGAGCATTTTCAGGACAGGAGACTAGAAGCCCCTGGAAACGGTGCTGCAGGAGGGGGCGTGAGTACCCTGCAGGGTGGTCACCTCCGTTCCAGGGCCCTGGGGCAGGCTCCACCTTTCCAACCCCCAGTCGCTGGGGGAGGCCACCTGAAGGGAGCCCTGCAGGAGCAGCTCCAGCCGCCTCTCACGACTACCCACCAGGGGGCAGCAGAGCTTTGGGGCTGTTGCTCCTAACCCAGCCCCCACCTTCTGGCTCCCAGGGATGGGGTGTCACCCGGGCCCCACTCTGTCCCCCCACAAGAGGGGCAGCAGAGCCTTTAGCCCCTCCCTAGAAAGCAGCCCTGATGGGTGCCAGGACCAAAGGGTGGGTCTCCACGCAGGAGGCTAAGGGACACCACTCACCACCAAGCCACCGGGACCCTACCCCAGGAGCCTCAGTCTCTCTGCTCAGATGTCACCTCCCAGAGGGGCCCTCCACTGGCCATCTATCGGAAGCAGGCTTGTCCCCGGCCACGTTCCATTTTCTTCTTAGCGCCTCTCTTTCCATGAAGGTATCTGTTTTATCCCAAGTGTCTGCCTTCCTCTTTTATTTATTTATTTTTTATTTTTTTTAAAGATTTTATTTATTTATCTTTTAGAGGGAAAGGGAAGGAGAGAGGGAGAGAAACATCAAGTATTTGCCGGATGCTGAGGGAATGAGAAGCCTATGGGAATCGAACCTCGATTGTCTGGTTCGCAGGCCTGTGCTCAATTGCCTTCCTCTTTTAGAATGAAAGCTCCTGTTTCCCGGTCCCACGGGGGACCCCAGAAAGAATGGGCTGGATCACAAGCAGCGGGGCCTGGGGGGAGGAGGCGACAGAGGGCACCCTGTTGTTCAGGATCCACGTGGGGCCGGTCGCACCCAGTCAGGGCCAGGGAAGTCTCAGAATGCCCCCTGACAACCTTCCCACTGCCCAGGCGGCCTCTGCCGGGTCCTGCAAGGCCATCAGGGTGCCTGCACAGAGCCACCCTCCATCAGCCGCACTCATCACCGAATCCTCAGGGCCTGGAGCCAAGCCGACCCACCTGAGGGCAGGGCGGGGCTGGAAAGGAGATGAGACAGGTATGCCGGCCAGCGGTCCTGTCTGCCCGGACATTGCCGCCTGCAGCGTTTTTTACCCCACGTTCGCTGTCTGATTAAACACGCAGCTGCGATACGATCTTGGTGTGGGTGAGCTGCGTGTGTGCCTGGCGACAGGGCGTGGCGTGAGCTGCAGGGGAGCCTCCATCGTCCTGACTGGGCCTGTGTCAAGTTCGTGTTTCTTAACCGGGTTCCTGCCATTGCTGTCGTCGCCCCAGCTCACAGGTGTCACGGGGAGCTGGGAGCCTGAGAGGCCTGGCACACGTTCAAAGGGAGTCGGAGGCAAAGGAGCTGCGGAGGTGGGAAGGGGGCCCTCGGTACCTAGTGCCCACAGCCTCTGTGAGGCTCGAGGGCAGCCTGCACATTGGCCCCTGTCCCCGTGTTATGCAAGGACACCCTGGGGCCCCTGGGAGGCGCCGAGAGGGCCTTACTGATATTTGGGGACATCAGTTGGGGTTTTGTGTGCGGCTGGGCAGGGCATGCTTTTCCCCACTTGAAATAACAGAAGTTGTGCTACCAGTTTCCAGGAGGGACTGGACTCCGTCCGATCAGGGACACCTGTCGTGGTGGCCGTGGTGATTGTGCACCAGCTGTGTGCTGGACCCCACGGGCCCGCCAAACCACCCCAGGGAGCGGGCGCCCATCGTCCTCCCTGTGTGGCAGAGGCTGAGAGGGGCCAGGTTTGGAGATGGGAGGACCAGCGAGGGCCAGGACTGGGAAGTTGGGGGGGTGGTGACCTCCGCGTGGCAGCTCCAGATCGGGCAGTTGGGAGAGTCAAGCTCTGTGAAATGATGTCATTGTGGGGGGAGCAGGGAGGGCAGAGAGGGTGGGGCCAGGGGCGAGGAGGGCCCCAGTGCCAGGCCATAGGGACAGCTGTGCCAGCCCTGAGCAGAGCTACGGACACTGGCCAGGGCCGGAGCTGTGGTTGCTAGGCAGAGAGAGACCCAGCCTGGCAGTGGGGGAAACTGAGCCGGGGGGGGGGGGTCTGAGAAGCGGTCTGACCAGGGGACCTAGAGCTGACCCTGGGGGTCTTGGTCGCCATCTAACTGCGGCTGTGAGCCCACCAGACCCGTTGCCTGTGAGAACATGAGTGAGCAGGAGAGGGAGGCAGAGGATGACGAGGGAGGGGGCACTTCGGACACAGCGCCCATGCTGCCCCGGTGGCCTCCTGCCCACCGGGCATCCGCCCAGACGTCTTCAGGGCGGGCGGGCTCGGCTGCCCGCGGCCTCAGGACCCTGCTGCTGCCCGGCCGGCTCCTGTCCGGGCTCCTCCTCCGCCTGCTGCTGCCCGCGGCCGTGTTTCTACTGGTGCTGATGCCGGCAGCCGCCCTCATCTACCTGGGATTCCTGTGCCACTCCAGGGTGAGCGGAGCCCTCCGTGGGTGGGGGCGCTGGCCGGGACCCCGGGGGAGTGGGGTCCTTGGAAGTTCAGGGCCCTGGGCCTGAAGGGTCATCTTCCCCCTTCAGGCACAGCCTCCTTGTCCCTAGAGACTTGCGTGCCCCTCCCTGGGGGGCCCTTCTTCCAACCCCTCCCCCGTCGGCCACAGCAGAAAAAGGGCTTTTGTTCCCCACTGGGGGTGACAGCTTTCTCCCCTCCCCTGAGGGCCCCCAGCCTTGTACCAGGGGCCACCAGGGCCTGGACAGCTGATCAGGGAGGGAAGAGGAGGGGGCTCCAGAGAGAGAAGACGAAGATGTTGCTGGATTTTAGCAGTGCACAGCCCCTCGCCCCACTCACAGCTCCTACGGAGGAGCTCTGCTGCCCCAGACTCAGTTTCTGCGTGTGTAAAGGGCTGTGGCTTGGTCCTGAGCACGGAGGGTGAAGGCAGGTGGGTCCCCATGTCCCCTTCCTGTAAGCACAGGGCAGGGGAGGGGGACTGAACACGGGGCCACTGAAGGTAAGCTGACATCAGCTGGTGACACTCACAGGTCAGGGGTGCTGGTCAGGAGCCAGCATAGGTAATGTGTGTGTTGGGGGTGAGTGGTGGGGATCTGGCAATCCCGGGAGGGGTGGGAATTCTCCCAGCCGAGCCTCAAGGGGTTCCTACTCTAGCCATTTATCTGTTGGGTTCCTGATCTCCCACCCTGGGCTCAGAAACGACAGGCCCACAGTGGGCTCAGCCACAGGCCCCACTAGACCTCAGGCCTTCGCAGCCTGGCCCCCGGACGGTGTGCTCCCAGGCCCCGCCCCATCCACTTGCTCCTGGCCTCGCCCCTGACCGCCTGCCCCGCCCCCAGGTCCACCCGGCGCCTGTCCCCACTTGCCGCGCGCTGCTCTCCGACCGCAGCTCCGCGACGCTCATCGTGCTGGGCTTCCTCTCTCTGCCTCCACTGCTGGTGCTCGCCTCTGCCACCCGCGCCCGCCTGGCCCGGCGCCTCCGCTCGCTGCTGCCGCCCCCCACATGGACACCTGGACCCCGCCGACACCCAGGGTCCAGCGACGGCGGGCGGACCGAACGCCACCCCGACGGGGAGGAGCAGCTCTGCGCCTGGGTGTGACCCCAGAGGCCCTTCCAAGTCCAGGGAGGCTGTCGAATGCCCCGCAGCCCCCATAAAGTGGCCTCAAGTCGGCGAGCTGGACGTCTGCATCCAGGTCCCGCGGAGTGGCGCGCGTGCTTCTGGCTCGTGCGCAGTGCTCCGAGTGGCCACGAGATGGCACTGGACTCCCTCGAAACTGGGTGGGGGGACCCGCCCTTCCCCGCCCTGCTGCGGAGGCGCTGGGAACGCCTCTCCGAGGCGGGGCGGCTCCCAGCGGGGGCGCGCGCCCGGGCGCCCTGAAAGGCGGTCTTTCTGGCTTCGGCCGCTGTGGCTGTCCTGGGTGGGCTCCCGCTGCCTCACAGCCCCTGCGCGCCCCTGCCTGGTCAGCCGCGGGCCTCCAGCAAGGTTCAGAGACTTCCACACTGGCTAGAGAGCACGCTTCCAGAAGCTCAGCGATGGCCGGCAGCGCCAGGGCCGGCTGGGCTGAGACTAAGGCCAGGGTCGGGGCTCAGGCTCAGATAATTTTAGGATCGGTGTCTTCTGTGTTCTGTTCTATGCTTTACGCTTGCTTCCAGGTATGGATATGTTCTTAACTGTCCATTTGGCATCCATGGTGTTTCCCGTTCCTGGGAAAACAGGAATATATATATTTCATCAGTTCCGGAGAATTCTCAACTAGTATCCCTGGAGTCCTGTCTGTCGTTCACTGTATATGTTCTTAGGGGAAATGCCGCCGTCCCCTTGGACCGCTCTGCTGATTGGTCTCCCTGCGTCTCCCATCTCATCGTCTCTCTTTGCTGCCTTCTGGGCGAGCGAGTCCTTCAGCTCCCTCTTCCAGTTCCAATTCACTCGCTGCATCCGGTCTGCCAGTTAACGCATCCATTTAATTTTCGGTTGTGGTACCTAAAAGGAATACTTGCTTCCTTTTTAAATCTGATCGTTTCTGATGGTCTGGTGCTGGTGTGCTTGATCTGTGGATTCCAGCTTCGACGTCTTGACCAGTTCGCTGTTATTTCATATTCTGTCCCTAACCATTCCAATTTGTTAGTCTGGGGGTCTAACTTTGTTACGTGGTATTTTTGCTGATTCTCACGAATAGCATATCGTTTCTCTGAAAGTTTGCTAATTTTCATGGTCAGCCCACACCTGTGAAAATTCTGAGGCCTGCCCTGGCTGTTGTGGCTTGGTGGATTGAGCGCTGGCCTGCGGACCGAAAGGTCACCAGTTCAATCCCCTGTCAGGGTGCATGCCTGGGCCGCAGGCCAGGTCCCCAGATGGGGGCGTGCGAGAGGCAGCCGATCCAAGTACCTCTTGCATCTCAATGTTTGTCTTTCTCCCCCCCTTCCCCTCTCAATGAAAATAAATAAAAATAAAAGTCTGTGCTTGTTGTACCCTGTCCAGAGTCTAGTGGCAACTGAAAGGCCTTTTTAGGACCTAACACACCATATTGCTAGCTGGTCTCCACCTATGACCAGCAGGGTCTGGTCTCCAATGTGCTCGAAGATTACCGCTCACAGTTCAGCGGGTGACCGGGGTCAGGGTTCGTTGCTTGGCCTTGAGCAGAGCCCACTGCGGGATTGGCTTGGGTCCAACGGGCGTCCTCTGGGTTTCCCCATCGTCTGTGCCCGGCTCCAATGCCATTCCCAGCCAGAGAGGAGCCCCGCTGACCGCCCAGCTGCCAAGAACAACTTCCTTGAGTCCAAGGCCGTCTTCCTTCCCCTCCTGCCCAGGCGTCTTAGGATGTGAGGACTCTCCTGGGGACCCGTCTGGCCCTGGAGTCATCAGACAACAGCTGGGCCTGCTGGGGGCGGGGAACTCAGCTGCCTGGGCCCACAGGGCTCCTAAGGCTCCCCCAGCGTCACAGGCCACCCACCCCTGAGCCCCAACTCAGCCCCACTCGCTCACAAAGACACCTGTGGGAGGCTGCGGGAAGTTCACAGAGGGGTCTAGGGGTCTGCTTCCAGCGGGCCAGCTATCGGGCAGATGGGGACACTGCGGCTGCGCTGCCGGCCCAGAGCCGACCCAGCCGAGAGAGCCGACACCAGGCCCCAGGGCCGGGGGGAGGCTCGGAAGGACCTCCCGTTCTTTCCTGGGTCCCAGGCCCTCTCCCTTATCTGCCGCCATGTGCCAGGGCCTTGCTAAGGGGGCAGGGAGGCCTGGGCTAATGGGGAGGCAGGGCCCTGCTCCTCCAGCCACAAGACCCCCTCCTCCGGGCCGGCCATTCACATGACCTACCCAGGCCCTTCTGTCCCCCACGTGCCCCGCATCCCAGCTCTCTGCCTCTACTCCTTCGCCCCCCAGAGCTCCTGACGGAAGCCTCCTCCTTTCAGCCCCAGCCCCCTCCCCCAAGAGCCCCCTCTACCCCAGCCTAAAATGGCCCCCCAAACCCCACCCTAAAGGTTGAGGAGCACTGACATCAACACCCCTCAGCCCACCCAGGGGTCCAAACTGCTCAGGAAGCAGGTGCTGATCAGCTGGGCGGGTCAGGTGGAGACCGCCACTTGGGAATGTCAACGTAAGGCACATTCAAACCTGGAGTTCTGGCCAAGATGGAGGAGTAGGTGGAAACACTGTGCCTCCTCGCAGAACCAAAATTAAGGACAACAAAGATTTAGAAACAGCCCTGGCTGGTGTAGCTCAGTGGACTGAGCGTGGGCCTGCGAACAACATGATCGCGGTTCGATTCCCAGTCAGGGCACATGCCTGGGCTGCAGGCCAGTTCTCAGCAGGGGACTCAGGAGAGGGAACCATATACTGATATTTCTCTCCCTGTCTTCTTCCCTTCCCCTCTAAAGACAAATAAATAAAATCTTTAACAAAAACACAAAGATTTAGAAACAAAAACACAACCAGAACAGACAGAAAATTGAATTGTATGGAAGTCCGACAACCATTCAACCAGTTGGGTAAGAGGGGCAGAGAGGGGTTGCCACAGGAAAAGGCGGTGGCTGCCAGACCCAGGAGCGCAGGCGGTGCCATGCTGACCTCGGTCACATTCACGTGCAGATAAACCAGACAAAAACAGGCAGTGAGACCACACAACCCAGGGCTTCAGTGCCGGGACATAAAGCCTAAAAGCACCGATTGCAAAGGTGCCGGGAGAGACTCCCAGCCTCACAGGAGAGTTTGTTGGAGAGACCCACAGGGTCCTAACATGTACACAAGCCCACCCACCCGGGAACCAGGACCAGAAGGGCCCAATTTGCTTGTGGGAAGGGGCAGAGGGGACCAAAATTCGAGAGAGTGGAGCAAGCGCCATTGTTCCCTCTCGGACCCTGCCCCCACCACATACAGCGCCACAACCCAGCAACTGGGTCGCCCTGTCCTGGCGAACAGTCCTGGTGAACACCTAAGGCTCCACCCCTCACTATGTAACGGGAGCGACCTGACCAAAACATTACGGCTCAAACAGAAGAACAGATCAAAGCCCCAGAGCCAATACTTCTAAGTGACCAAGAGACAGCCAACCTATCAGATGCACAGTTAAAAAAACTGGTGATCAGGATACTCACAGAACTGGTTGATTTTGGTCCCAAATTAGATTTTTTAAAAAATGAAGGCTACACTAAGTGAAATGAAGAGAAATGCACAGGAAACCAATAATGATGAAAAGAAAACTGGGACTCAAATCAATGGAGTGGACCAGAAGGAAGGAAGAAACAACCAAACAGAAAAGAATGAAGAAACAAGAATTCAAAAAAACAAGGAGAGGTTTAGGAACCTCCAGGACATCTTTAAATGTTCCAACATCCGAATTATAGGGGTACCAGAAGGGGAAGAGGAAGAGCAACAAGTGGAAAACTTATTTGAGCAAATAATAAAGGAGAACTTCCCCAATCTGGCAAGGAAATAGACTTCCAGGAAGTCCAGGAAGTGCAGAGTCCCAAAGAAGGTGGGCCCAAGGAGGAACACACCAAGGCACATCATAGTTACATTACCCAAGATGAAAATGAAGGAGAGAATCCTAGAAGCAGCAAGAGATAAGGGGACAGTTACCTACAAAGGAGTTCCCATCAGACTGTCAGCTGATTTCTCAAAAGAGACCTTACAGGCAAGAAGGGGCTGGAAAGAAGTATTCCAACTCATGAAATCCAAAGACCTACAACCAAGATTGATCTATCCAGCAAAACTTTCATTTAGAATGGAAGGGCAGATAAAGTGCTTCCCAGATAAGGTCAAGTTCAAGGAGTTCATCATCACCAAGCCCTTATTATATGAAATGTTAAAGGGACTTATCTAAGAAAAAGAAGATAAAAAAGATGAACAGTGAAAGGACAGCAAACTCACAGTTATTAACAACCACACCTAAAACAAAAGCAAACTAAGCAGACAGCTAGATCAGGAGCAGAGCCGTAGAAATGGAGATCACATGGAGGGTTAGCAACAGGGGAGTGTGAGGAGGAGAAGAGGGGAGAAGGTACAGAGAATAAGTAGCATAGACGGTGGGGAGAAAATAGACAGGGGGAGGGCAAGAGTAGTTTGGGAAATGTAAAAGCTAAAGAACTTATGACACATGGACATGAACTAAAGGGGGAATATGGGGGAGGGGGTGTGCAGGGTGGAGGGGAACGAAGGGGGTGAAGGGGACAACTGTAATGGCATAATCAATCAAATACATTATAAAAAAAGAAACATCCTGGCCCTGGCTGGTGTAGCTCAGTGGATTGAATGCGGGCCTGTGAACCAGACAATCGCGGTTCGATTCCCAGTCAGGGCACATACCCGGGTTGCAGGTCGGTTCCCTGCAGGCCAGTTCCCAGCAGGGGATACATGAAAGGCAACCATACATTGATGTTTCTCTCCCTCTCTCCTTCCCTTCCCCTCTAAAGATAAATAAATAAAATCTAAAAAAAAAAAAAAGAAAGAAACATCCAAACCTATTTTTATGGGTTTATTTGAACCCAACTGACGATGATTGTGAGGAAGCAAAACCTCAAGGGACTGAGAACATGCTCCGGAAAATGACTGTTTTGTGCCTCATTTTGTACATTGCAGGCGAAAGAAGAGGTGCAAGGGGTTCCGTGAAATCCCCTGGGGCGAGATCAGGCAGGTGGGAGAAAGGGAGGCGGGGCGGGGACATCGGGGACTGGGCGAAAAGTGAAGTGGTAGATACTGCTTTGCACGGGTGGGCACAGGACAGCTCACAGTTCACAGGGTGACAGTGTCAGCAAGGGGCATCGGCTGTGCCGGTTGTGCCCGAGGGGTTTGGAAAGGGGCAGCGCCTGAGCAGTTCCACAGGTGTGCTGTTGTCCTAGGTGTGAAGAGAGGACTTGGGCTCAGTTTAGGTCCAGACTGACGCACCTCAGGGAGGGTTCCAGCTTGGCAGCCTAGGACGGGACTACCCACCACGACCTGATTCTAGTCAGACAGCTGCACTTTCAGACCCTCCTGTGTGGTCGCTTTAGGTCTCGGGGTCTGTGAGGCCGCCATGCAGGCCTCCCGCGAGCTGGGTGGGGTTAGCATGTGGCCCCTTTTCGTCCATAGGACAGTGATCGCTCTTCCCCCACCCCAGGGCCCAGGTTCCTGCTCTGCAATGTGTGCTGGGCTACAGGGACCCCCACGCCCCTGTGCGTGTGTTCCGGCTCGTGCCAGTCCGCCTCCCCTGCGGCCCTGGGAGGGGTGGGTGGGGGCCATCCGACCCCACAGGTGTGGAGACGGTGCAAGGCTCCCGGACCTGCCCCAAACCGTTTATTCTGGCACAAAGCACTTCCCAGGAGCCGAGGCACCTGCAGGTGCACCCTCAGATTCAGGAGCAGCCAGGAGGGGCTAGGGCCAGTTCTGTCCCTCCAGCTTGCACTCAGATGGGGGCCCGCCCCCCACCCAGACCTGTGGGCCAGGCAAGGGGTGCCGGGCAGGAAGTGAGCTGGGTGGCGTGCAAAGACCTTGTTAAACACGACACCATTTTACTCTTCCAAGCTTGTTCCCAGGACTGGAAATGACTCGAAGCAAGAACAGAACTGACCAGCTTGTCCCTGCAACCACAGGCAGAAGATACCATGGAGCAAACTGCAGCCTCCAGTTACAACGCCCCAGCAGCCCAGGGGCTTCACCTTTTTCAAACCCGATGTTAATCCAATGAAAGCCCAAAGCCCCACCCCTCGGTGCTGGAGTACCCCTCTGCACCTCCCCCCTGCCCTTTCCCGGAGAGTGAACAAGAACTTGACCCCCTACGCTTTCTTCTCTCGGTGAATTCCTTCACAGCCCGCGTCGCCGACCACCCTAGCCGTGTGGAAGAACACGCTTCCCCTGCCCCCAAGGTGCCTCTGGCCGGTCTGACATCCAATAGACCCGAGGCAGATCAGCAACAGGAAACAGCTAACTATGTGCGGGAACCCCACAAACAGGGGAGCCCGA